TACTAAAATCTAGCTAAATTAGCCGGAAATATATAAACATAGATTATTGGCTTCTAAAAACCAACATTTGGATATCATGTCACAACCGGGGAAATTTCATAAATGGGCTTGACCAGCCTCTATATATGAAACTGTCCATTGTCAATGTTGGGGTTATCAAGATAAAATGCTTAGCACCTTTCAGTACAAACAGTTCATAAGTTAGAATTACTGTATACCGGAAGAGCATGATTAATCTATTAAGATTTCCAGTGAATGGATGTCATGCAATCATGCACTACAACGAGAAAGGAAAAACTGTGTTGGCAATAAAGTTTTTAGCACTCTTACACTGTCCTTAAACTTTTTGCTCATAAAAGGTAATATGATGGCTAACAAAGCATCGATGAAAACAAGCAGTTTGTACATATGGAAATCCTTGAATCGCATGGGTCACGATTTCTATACAAATAAATAGTATTGTAAATGTTAATAAATCCTTTTTATGATAAGACTTAACAGTTCAAATATTACTCCTATACTCCAAGAGAAAAGAGTAAAACACATTTTTAAACAATATTTGTTTAAATTTGTTTAAATTCTTTCGCATAATAATTATAAAGATGTATATATAAACTCACATGATTCGACAGCCATTGTGTGCGACTACGAAAATCAACTAAAATCGCACATAAATATCCTCCAGATTTTATTTTAAATATATGATATTACACCTAACCGTGCAATATATTTGATCACACATTTCTTGAGTATCTTTGTTTATTTTAAAAGTTAATGAGAACTACAAACTGTAGCTATTAGTACTTGGGCAATAGATCCATCACCCGCGGTCATCTGATCTTGACACGTATGCATACGCAATTAATTTAATTCCTTCAGGTCGCATATAAATGTAAGTTCATAAAGTGGCACATGTATTCAAATAAAACAAATATAAATTGATACTGATTTCTAGACAGTGGTGCGTTTTATTTTATTCAATACAGACAGAATTGGCGAACTTACTGCATAAAACGCGGATGCAATTAAGTTTTAACTTTGCACTCTAAATATTATGAGTTTATAGACCTTTTCCCTTAGAAACGGATGATGCATTTTGTGCATTCTGCGTAGGGTTAAAACCAAATAACGACAGAATACAATTCATCATACTTTAAGGCTTTCTTAGGCGTGATTTCAAGTTATGTCACCAAGGGGATGACTTAAAGTGGTCAGTATGATATTTATAAAAGAACTATGCAAAAATATGCAACGGCAATAATAATTCAATGATTGAAAAGCGCATGTTTAAGGTTTCATTAGATGACTTTTTCTATCAGTAATTTAATTTGAAACAGCAGGATGTATTTGTACGAACTATTTCAACAACAAGTTAACTCTTTATTTACTAATGGATATGTTTCCACATATTTTCAACAATTAACAATTATCTCAATGTCAGGGGGAATTCTTGAACAATCATTTTTTCCATGCATTTTATGCTAATCTTGCACTAGATTTCGTATGTCTGTTATAACTACTAGGCATGGATTATCTATGATTTCTATGTCTAGATTATCTATGATTTCTATGCCTAGATTTATATGAATTCTATGCGTAGATTGAATATGAATTCTAGGCCTAGATCACCTACCTTGTAGGTCTAGATAATAAAGGTTTAGATAATCTATGTCTTGACAAGAGTAGCTTTAAAGTGGCATAATGCTCAGTTTTTGCTGCCGAGTGGAGCTAAATTGGCTTTATATTTAAACAAGAGCTGTCACAGGAGACAGCACGCTTCACTAATAAAATACTAGACACAGAAAAGGAAGACAAAAGTAAAAAAAGAATGATGATGTAAATATATTTTTGTAGAGGTATCTAGAAAGCACTCAAATGCTCAACATTTCTGCACCACATAATATGCATGTGACCATGTCAATAAGAGTTAAACGGAAAATCCTTTCTTCTAATGGAAAAGACAACACTTTGAAATCCAAAATCAATCCTGTCAGTACTAAAAATAATAAGAGCAAAAGTGTATAACGTTTTTAAGTACAAATCAAGATCAAAGAGAAAACAACTCTTGAAAAAAAACATGCTAGATTTATAACCATTGTCATAGCTGTAAGATACCACTTACTTATTTCACAATAAATGCTTACATTCTCATTCATTTCCTAGGAAGTTTGCACACTGTCTTAATGAAGGTGAAAACATTGTGTTTAACAAAAGACAAAACAAGATTACACTAAAGGTTAGAGAATACACAAAGTAACAGAAAAAAGACCATTCATACTTTGATTATTCTGCATATCCTGCCCCGCAATAAATTAGATTCGGAGCATGATGTGTTACCATTGTTTGTGTATGTGCGTGTGTGTTTGAAAGGTATATACATGTATTTTGTGTACAATTCAAACCTTTCGCATGCAAGATAGGATTTCAAAATAAATTTGTTTACGTCACTACAATACCCAGACAATGTGTTGTGTGCAAGACTAATGTCCATAACTCAAATGTCAATGTCACATTTGGGGATTGAACTTAGTGTATTTCACATATAGTTGGTTTAAACATATGTATTTAGGCTCGATTGCGAAACAAATTCTTGCAACTAACATGAATTACTTTCGCGTACGCTTCCTGAAACCAACCAGCACTGATGTCATACTGACGACCCGATTATCGCTCGAACCAATGATCCCTGGGTAGAAATGCAGACACCCTAACCACTTGGTCGCTTGAAATATGTAAATCATTGATGTCAGCGGTCAAAGGTCTAAAATAGAAAAAAACGGAATCCTAAATAACTTTAAAAAAGACATAGCTGAAGACTCGCTTTGATTAAGCCTATTTATGGACAGTACTAATAAGTGCAAATAACCGTCAACGCCCACGAGCACTGGTTTAAGCAGATTTTAATATAAATTTAAGAGTATGAAAATGATGATATTTTTTTAGTTTAAGAAACATCCGCAGTTGAGTTCATACGGCGATTAACATCGAACGTCCAATCCTCCTAGTTTTAAACGTTGTCATTACTTGATGGATTGTCTAAAGAAATGGCAGATGGTTTTATCCTTAAGAATGTTGTTTCTTAATAAGTCAATCCATTTATTAATAACAAAGTAATAGCCATTTATAGCAGAAAAATGAAGAAAATTTCAATAATTTGACTTTCAATGTCAATGCCATTTATGGATAAAGGTCAATTTCTGTCTGTTTAACTTGAAGGTCTATCCTAAAAGATTGTTGTTTTCAGGTTTGAAGAAAATGCGTTGAGAGTTATAGCCACTAATAGCAAAACTGAGCAAAAATCAAGCAAAGTTTAGACTCTAAAACCATAAAAAGTTATGATCAGCGTAAATTTTTTGGGGACGGCAATGACACGACAACGCGAACATGACTGTAACAATACTTCTATTTCTATCTTCGAAAACAAGTCGAGCGCTAAAAAAATGACATCCATGTTCATTTAACTTATTTCTGGCTTACAGACGACCCTTGGTATGACCATTATATTGTTATAAATCAGAGATAGTTTTGTTCAGGAGATTTTTAAGTAACATCATTGGATAATATAAACTGTGTTGCTTCCGTCCGTCCACCTGTTCATCCATCTGTTGTCATATTCTGTCGCACATAGCTCAAAAGTATTTGACATAGAGTCATGAAACTTCACAGGAATGTTACTCAGTATGTGAAGTTATCCACCTGTGGATTAATTCAGTATTTGTAGAGTTATTGCCCTTGACGTAGTAAACATTTGCTAATTTTCAACTTGTGTCGCACGTAGCTCATAAAGTATTTGACCTATAGTCATTTAACTTTACAGGAATGTTGCTCAGCATGTGAAGTTGTGCACCTGGGGTTTTGCTTGTGGATTTATTTCATTTCGTCAGAGTTATTGCCCTTGCCTTAATAAAACTGTGCAATTTTCAACTTGTATCGCATATAGCTCAAAAAGTATTTGGCCTAATGTTATGAAACTTTACAGGACTGTAACTTGGCATGTGAAGTTGTGCACCTGGGGTTTTGCTTGTGGATTTATTTTTTTGTCAAAGTTATTGCCTTTGACTTAAAATTTGCAATTTTCATTTTTTGTCGTGCGTAGCTCAAAAAATATTTAACCTAGAGTCATGAAATTAAACAGTTAACATAAATGTTTGTCAGCATGTGTAGTTGTGCACCTGGGGTTTGATTGTTGATGTATCCAGTATGTATTCAGTAGTTGTAAAGTTCTTGCCCTTTACTTAGTAAAAGTTTTTTAGTTTTCAATTTTTGGCACGTGTAGCACAAAAGATATTTGACCTAGAGTCATAGTATTGACAAATCAGTGGAATGTGTGTGTGGGGGGCACCCTTGTCCTATGGACACATTTCGAGTTAACCAGTTGTTTATTTATTTTGATTGCGAAACAAATACTTGCAACTTATATTTATCAATTTCGAGTCCGCTTCCTTAAACTAAACAGTACTGGTGTCTTATGATGAAACATGTCCGTGACCCGAGTAAGGCTCGAACCCATGATCTCTGGGTTGAAAGGCAGGCACATTAACCGCTAGGCAACCATCCCCTTTACACTACTGATGTTATGCAATGGAATCTTCTCTGCATTGATTAATCTGTCCAATATAATAAATAATATAAAATAGAACTATTAACAGTAAAAAACTGTATCACACTAGCTCATTTTTTTGAGATGTCCAGATCCTGTGAATCAATAAGAAGAAATTCGTAATAAATATGTCATTTGCTTGGCCTAGATCAGGTTTGTTATTCAACAAGAAACAATCATTGATACAATTAATATTCTATTATTTGATTATTTCATGACAAAATATTTCTTTCAAAAATATTTCTGTTATTTTCTTCCGAATTATATGTTTGTACGTTAAACAAACACTACATGCATATCATGTATATAAATTATCTGTACCTTAAAATTTAACTGAAATTGGATATTCTTTCGTGAGATAAAGTTACACTTTGTGCACAGAGGTATGACAGCGCCTTTGTTCATTCATAGCAACCATAAATCGATTGAATGGCAAATATAGTTATTAACTTGAAAGGTATTAAGAGTAGGATATTATGAAAGGAATATAAGAGATGTTTTTTTTTTTAAAGTTGGAGATTGTGATATAAGTTTTATTATGAATTATTATGTTTAATATGACATTGAAAATAAACTTGGACAACGTTTATCAATTTAGAAACACAGTGTAAATCAACTAAACGAACAGATTTTAACAAGACAACAATATGGCGGAGGGTGGACAAATAGATACGGATATTCTTTCCGATGAAGCATTTGATGTATTATGTTCAATGTGTAAAAATCAAGGCAAAAACACTGAAGGTGAACAATACTGTGTAGATTGTAAAGATTATTTCTGTGTTAGTTGTGTCAAAGTTCACAGTAAAGTGCCTTTATGTGCTGGTCACAAGGTGCTAGATAAATCTCAGATCAAGTCAAGAACCAGCAAAGGTCTGCCGAGGGCACCGACAGAGAGATGTGACAGACACAGTCATAAACACATTGATATGTACTGTCAGAAACATGATACTGTTGGCTGTTCTACATGTATGGCAGTTGATCATAGGTAAAATTTACTCCTTAAACAAAGATTATTTTCTCAATTTATATATGGAATGATTAGTAGGTACTTAAAAGTTTTAACATAATATTCTATCTTAGATACTGTTTTGATACAGAAAATAAAAACATATCATCTCCTCAGTCATCTCATAGCCTGATATACATAAACTGTATAAACTTATTTTTCAGATTATGCAAAGATACATTCTACATACCAGAATTTATCCAAAACAATACTTACCAAGTAGTTGCAACCAGAGAAATTCAAACAAAACTGAAAGCCTTAGATACCATCCTTGCAGAAAAAGCTGATAGATTTAAACAGGATAAACAAAGGCTGCTAAAGAGAAAAGCAGAAATACTGGCTGATATTAGAAAATTCCGTCAAGAAATCAACGACCATCTTGACAAGCTGGAGAAAAGTTCTATAAATGAGATAGAAGATAAAGTCAAAAGTCTTGAAGACAAGATTAAAGATAGTCTCAAACAGCTACAAGCAAACAAATCCAGGATTACATCAATAAATGATAAGTTAACATCTACAAACACAAATCAATCTGAAGTGTTTGTTTATGTGAAGATGGCAGAAGATGCTGCAACTGTTGCCTACAAATATATAGATGATTCAGAATTACAATGTACAACAGAAGACATAGAATATCAACCTGATATAACAATTCCTACGCAGCTAGAAGAAAAGAAAACCCTGGGCACATTAGCAAAGAAACATACAAAGACTTCTGTCAGTTTATTTCAGATTTAAGAAAATAAATCATATAATGTAAAAATTAAGTCTGATAAAAACAATTGTTATATCACAAGTGCCTGTTGTATGGAAGATGGTACAATAATTCTAGCTGATTACAACAACGTCAAGCTAAAACTATTACACAGTTATAACTATACTGTCACTGAGTATTGTGATCTACCTGACGTGCCATGGCAAGTGTGTATTATCAAAAACACACAAGTAGCAGTAACCATGCCATCAAAAAAGGAAGTTCATTTCATTTCATTAGAAGGACAAATGAAATCAACAAACAAGATTAACACCGCTTTTGACTGTTATGGTATTGCATATGCTAACAATACTTTATATATTTCAGATGGTTACATATCAGTATATATGTATACATTGTCTGGTATTGAGCTTAACCAGTTCAGTAAGGATCAGTCAGGACATAAGCTGTTCACTAACATACGCAGTATAGCTGTCAGTCAGGATGCTACAAGAATTTATGTTGCTGACTATAATAATGGACTGATAGTACTGGACAACAATGGCAAGGTTATAACATCATTTGATGATGAACAATTAAAGAAGGCTAACTGTTGTTATCTCACTGAAGCAGGCAGTGTGCTGGTATCAGGATTGGACTCTAATAATGTTTTACAGTTTACATGTGATGGTGAACTGATAGGAGAGATAATACAATTTAAAGCTGATAATCGAAAAACGAGAATTTTGTCTGTGCTGATTAGAATGAGTGGAAAATGGGGAATAACGTTAGTCTGTTGTAATCAACAAATGACTAAGATGTGTATAAGAAAACGGGGAGACGACAACATTGAAGTGTATGATATCTAGAATGTTAAGTTAAAGCCTACAAAAAACAATTTCGTATGATTTAAGAATAATTTGATTCATAAGTAAAAGCATTATTCAAACATAAAATGTGGAACCTCCACACACAAAAAAAGACAACAAAAATCACTGTCTTAGCCACAAATAGCAAAAATCAGCAAAAATCAAGCATAATTTAGACACTAAGAGAAAAGTTATGATCATCATCGGCGATGACACGGCAACCCCGACATGACTGTTACAATACTTCTATTTTTATCTTCCAAAAAAAGTCGAGTTAAAATCCATCTATGTTCTTGTAACATATTTCTGTCTTTCAGACCCATGGCATGATCATTATTTTTGTATGTTTTGTTTAGAAGATTTTTAAGTAACATCATTTTAAAGGCAGAAACTGTTTTGTTGTTATCATTTACTACAGATATCATTGACTATCTGACAGCACAAAAGTATTTTTCTAGTTATTTATTGAAGCTCTAAATAAAAGACAACAAAAACTCAGTTATCCTGACAATATGACTACATAAGATGTAATGTTGCAAGCTTAATTCATTGTGAATATATGAGAATAATGTTGATTTTCAATGTATTTCATATTGTTGCATTACGATTAAATACAAAATTGATTTTAACTAAAATTGATTTTAACTAAGTTGTATGCTGTATAAATTAGATTCTGTGAGTGAAATAGATTTATAATTTAAACATTTTTGATCATTTTGAAATTAATTCGTTTAGTATCACTTTCTTAAGTTATAGTACGTGCTTTTTTATTATTAAATACTGCTTAAATATTATGCGAAATGTGTGATTTTTACTGTAAAAAGAGCCCTCGCAAGTTTCTTGCTGTTGTTCTTTGTATTCATACAAAATGCATTCATTCTATGGCAACGTAAAATGTAGCAATATGAAAATATTGATGAGTTTAATCAAGTCATGTTTGAATTTATCCTACAATATTGATTGTGACAAAGTTTGTTTATATGGTTGGTTGGTTTAACAGCGTCCGTACAGTCCAACACATATTAAGTCATGGGAGCCGAAACAGGGAAGATAATTTGGCTAATCTCTGGTGGTACAAAATTATAGATTGGAAGACTTACAAGTTGAAAAATCAAATGAAGCATTAATATATGTACATGTATGGGTATGATATATGAATTGTAAATGTTGCTTACCTGCAATTGATCAGAGTAATAAAAAACCTGCCCTTTATACATCACCTCATTATATCCAACATTTATATAAAGAAGTATAAAATTAGTATTATTTTTTATATAAAGTTATGACAATTTTATGCAAGTGTTTACAAGTATAAGATAAGTTCATTTTGTTATGCATAAATGATGTTTTTTTTTAAACTTTACTTATTTATCTTTTTACCATATTTCTCTTATTGGGTAATAAGATTTCCCCTTAAACTATATTGCAATTTTCTCAAAATACGTACCAACAGGTTCATACATTTTTCATTTACTTTGATTTGAAAGATCAGCCAGAAATTGTCCACATATTTAATACAACAACAACAATAACTTCTGCTTTTAACATGTTTAATGATATCATTTTAAAACATGTAAAATGATGACTCATTTGTTTCTTATTGAAATATTGATTGGAACAGGTGTATAAAAAGTAAATAAGCAAGAAACATGTCTGTAAATTTTACATAACATACTACACTTTGTAGAGAAATACCTTGTAGTAAATACAAATTAATACACAAAGTAAAAGTGACATAAAGCAAATGAATAATTCAAAGTAGAAGTTAAAGTCTTTTCACCATTCAAAGTATTACATGAGATATCAGATACCTGTATGTAAGCTTGGGCAGCACGCTGGCAGTCATAATAGTAAATTGATTGAAAAAAAATCTACCAGAGATCAAATAATATCTACTTATTATTACAGGTATTTTATTTTCTGGTCTGTTTAAATTCATTTTATGTTTTTTATATCTTACTTAGTTACAAACTTTGTAATTTGATTTCACACTAGGTTTAAATCGTTTACTGTACATTTTTGCATACTGAAGTTATGTTACAAGCATAGTATTTTGCAAAATTAAGATTATTTTTTTTTTACCTTTACCGATTTATGATGAACATTAAGATTCACAGAAAAAAATGTATTCCTGTAATATGTTAAAGACATTATTTACTTTTAATCATTCTTATTTATTTAGATATATTTTGTAAATACTTTTAAAATTCAAAATTGCCAAATAATTGCGATAATTTTTACCAAGTTTATGATTTTATTTGTCAATTAGTTAGTAATTTTGTTGTTTAAAGAAAACATGATCTCGAGTAAAACATTTCGGTAATGTTTATGTGTCTTGCGAGTACTTATATGTAATTTTACCACTCCTAACTTAAATAATCTTGTTTTGTTTGATATTATAAATCTATATTGCTATCAAATTTCGTTTGATAGATTTTGAAATATCAGAATGAAACGTATAAGTAAAAATATGAAATCATTTATAATATTGATAAATTCAGATACATATACATTACATGTATGAATTCTTTATGAATGATGTTTTATGTTTTGTATTGTATTTGATACATAGTAAATTGATTGAAAAAAGAATAAATCTACCAGCACCAGCTATCGAATATTGTCTACTTATTATTACAGGCACAAGTATCTCGAAAACAAATATTACATTACTTTGATTTTACATAAAATAATAATACGTAATCCTAATGGTATGAAATTTATGCCAAGTAGTTTAATTTCTTCCATTCAACGATATATAGCAGACACTTAATTTAAGTTGCTGATGGATTGACAGACGGACAACAAGCGTCAAGCATATCATTACATCAAATGTCTGAAATCCTTTGGGACGTCTAAAATTGATTTGATTGTCAAACATATTACCAAACTATACATGATGTTTCATCAGATCACAAATAAATGCATTTGTTACTCATTATGCGAATATTGCACCCATTTGTTTTCATCAAAAGTCACATGGTAGACTTACCTCCAAACTCTATTGTAGTTGAGATGATTGATATTCGGTCAGATGTTCCAATTGATTCAAGTTAGTCAATTTATTCAAGTATATATCTTTACAAGGGATGCAATTGTAGCTAGGAATAAGAATCATATAAACCAAAAAATAGTCTATACCTACATTTCGCTGAGAATCTCTATTGTTAGCTTTTGAGATTCTCAGTAGATTAACAGTCAACCTACAGACTATAACTAAACTTAACTGAGCTCTAATAAAGGTGGCGATTGTGACTTAAGCATGCAACCAAAACACAGCCAGACCAGCCTGCACATCCATACACTCTTACCAAGCACTATATCATTGAATGTTCTGATATTAAACTATTAAAATTTAATTAAATCTAAAATTGATTTCGACTGTTCTCATTTCAAAGCAAGAAAAATCATGAGAAATGCTCAAAGCTATGCTTGTTTCCAAATTCACGATATAAGCAAAATAGAAACAGCAATCTCAATGTCAGATATTGTATCAAAACAACAAATAACAAAATAAATAACAAATATTGAATTGCTTTCTGAACCAGATATTTAATCACAATGTAACAAAAATATGCTGCAACATCTATAAAAAATAGTTATATTTTTGTTATATTAAAATACAAATTATCAGTTACCATCACGTTACCAATACACATGTAGGTGTGAACTAATTTCGTGTTCATTAAAATTATTCCGTTAATAGACATATAACAATCTTATTTACAAATGAATTGATAAAACAACAATCCCAGAAGCATTTAAGATAATAACAATAATTGGAAAAAAATAAATGCATGTAAATTGTAACTTTGTGTATGACAACTCAACCCCCTAAACAAAACATAATAGACTCAACCAAAAAAAGCGCCTGCTTCTTCACCTAAGTATGTAGTTGCACGACCATGATTAGCAATTTAGAAAACCAAATCTAAGAGATAAACCTATTGTAAAAATAATACTTTGACCACAGCAGATTTCGTACAGAAAATAATTATATTTCTGTTATATTAAAATACAAATAATCAGTTATTTACCAAAATTGTACCATTACAGAAAAACAGCCATAAAATCAAAGTAAATTTACTATCTATGAATTTTTTTTTAATTATAAAACATATATTTGAGGGATAAGTTCATTGCAGTTAACTCTTAGGAATGTGAATTTCTTTAAAGGAATTGGCAACCTTTCCATTTTTACAACTGTACAATATCATTTTGTGGATACCAAAAGGAAATATTAGAACTCGGTCAACTTACAGTATAGATAGCAGGATTGGCTCTTTACTACTAGCAATAGCAAAGGCATATTACATGAAATTCTAAAAGAGTTATAAATGTTAACACTATTTTAAAACTCTCAAGACTGCCAGACATAATGACTTGACAATGTCTATACTAGAATCTTTCCACAGATTTTATACCAAACGCCTATTAAATCTAGATGTTAAATACATTTACTCGAAAGGAAAAAAGTAATACTAGCATAATGATGGTGAGTGCCTATGAAGAGAACATTTGATTATATTGTCACCGAGATCCATTTTTGTACTGACTTCTCCGTTCTTTTCTTTATTCTCTTGCTTCCGTGATATATCACTTGCTTCCAGACGATGTCATTTAAACATCACATGTTTGCTTCCATCAGATATCAACCATTATTCCACCTAAAGTCTTACAAATTTCATGTATATTTTGTAAATAAAAGCAACGATTTTCACTTAGTAAATGAGCGTTATTGTAAATACTACCTCTAAGCAGCGAAAAGAAATTAAACATTTTAACAAATAATACACAATGCTTCAATCAAACAATAATCTGTTTATTTTATAATGCATTCTATGTCTAATGTTTACACAACCACAGGCATGATGGAGAGCTCTAGATTATATTAGATTTCTTTAAAATGTGCACCTTTTCAAATTTAGAGTATGAGCTAGAAATGGAAAAGGTTACCCTCTCTGGGTATTTGATGGGATTTAAATATCGACATTTTGGCATCCATCAAGATAAAATTTATATATTAATGTCAAAATCTATGACAATGAACTTTCATAGGAATATTGGGCACAAATTATGAGGGTCGACTCTGATGTTCGGCCATTGCAAACTCAGTCATAATGTATAAAATATATAAGTATAATAGAAGAAAAAGAAAACACCAAGAAACTTTCAATAATAAGAAATATATGGTCACATGATTTATCTGTTACCGCCATAAAAATTAAAACTCTTTTTTTGGATTTTATGCATCTATTTTGGTTGACTCAACCTTACATCGCCAAACACGAGTCGGACATCTGTTTCAATCATAAACTTAATTTTTGATTCAATTTCCAAATAAATAGAATCCCATTTACTAGTGGTAAATTGGATTTATAAACTGATGTAGAAATTGAAGCAAGGAAGGGCAGGGTTGTACCCCTGAGTATCTAAAAGGCAATTTTATTCAATAAAATTCATTGTCTCACTGCAAGTATGTTTCACAATATTTTCTGCAACAAAATGAAGTTTTACATCGAATTCAACAAAATTAAATATTAAAACTAACGGATATTTTTTAAACAGCCAAAGGCGGACATTGACATTTAACACATTTGAAATGATCTACAATAGTGGGGTCATGTTAATGTATTTAAATGTTTACAGTAATAAACTTAGTGTAGGACAACGATAAGGAAAGAGAACAATGTTTATGCGTAAATTATCTTATTGTAATAAGCGCCTTGATAACCATGATCAGTGGTCTGAAGAAGCCGTGTTGTGCGAGCAAAAAGTTTTTTGGCCAGTTAAAAGTGGTAACTGGCTCAGTTAAAAATGGACATTCGTCAGCTATAGAGATAGGTGGGCATTGTTATTATCTTCTTCTTCTTTTTTTAAGAAAACTCAAAGCTCACGAGATCGCTTTTCCTCTTCTATTTCCTTTTTATTTTCTGGTCACAGATTTAATGATTGTTATATAATGGAAAAAGAGTACTTCTAAAAGTTCAACTTGGGATTTTTTACATTACGACGTCTAATTATTACAACTGGTAGTGACACATTTTAAGTAATCTTAAAAAAACCCAGGTCTATCCTTACACTTCTGACAGGAATTTTCCTCTGGCGTAAATGAAATTTGTAGAAATATATAACATATATTGATTATATGTGTTTTACAGAATCATTCAAACATACATTGATTATATGTGGTTTACAGAATCATTCAAACATACATTGATTATATGTGGTTTACAGAATCATTCAAACATACATTGATTATATGTGGTTTACAGAATCATTCAAACATACATTGGTTATATGTGGTTTACAGAATCATTCAAACATACATTGGTTATATGTGGTTTACAGAATCATTCAAACATACATTGGTTATATGTGGTTTACAGAATCATTCAAACATACATGGGTTATATGTGGTTTACAGAATAAATTTAAACATACATTTATATGTGGTTTACAGAATCATTCAAACATACATTGGTTATATGTGGTTTACAGAATCATTCAAACATACATTGGTTATATGTGGTTTACAGAATCATTCAAACATACATTGATTATATGTGGTTTACAGAATAAATTTAAACATACATTTATATGTGGTTTACAGAATACATTCCAGATGGATTACAGCAGAGATGCACATATGGAAAGACTTGTAGGTTATATGTATGATGATACGGACAAGACCACACAGTACTACACGGTCTACAATGACTATAAAACTGTAAGTGTTGACAATATATCTTCTCATTTTTCTTCTTTTAATCAAATAAACGCTCGTGCAACACTATTTTCTTGTTCTTACCCATCCTTGCAGTTACTCTATATCTTTATCAAAAGTATCTTGCAACATGCGTATTTTTAGTTTAATCCAATGAAATACACAAACAAATACAATTACTCTTGGCAATGTGGTACAGTAAAAAAATCTCTTTGCAATTAGGTATTTACTAAAACGTTTATCTCGGCAAAGAGGTAACACACATTTTTTCTCCGCAATGAATTCCCTTGGCAATGGGGTACATAAAAGCAAATTATCTTGGCAAACGAATTATCTTGGCAATGAGGTATTCAAAACGAATTCTCTTGGCAGTGAGGTACTCAAAACAACTTATCTTGGCAATGGGGTACTCAAATGAGATATTAAAAGAAAGTAAATTCTCATGCCAGTGAGGGACACAAAACAAACAAATTCTCTTTGCAATGAGGTACACAGACAAATTATCATGGGAAATTAGGTACACAAACAAATTCTATAAATACTTATTTCCTTGCTTCAAAAAGATGTAAAATTATAGTCAAATTATTTGTCAAGGGCCCAGTACATTTGGCCAGAAAACTAAATTAAATTCTTTCATGTTTAAACATAATTATCAAACATCTTAATTCGCTATTATAAAGAACAAACCAATATCACAGTTTGCAATCCAATAAATATACAGAGAACAAGCCAATATAGCTGTTTACAATCCAATATAATGACCAAACCAATACCATGGTTTAGAATCACATCCAATCAGGATCACACTAAAATATTTGGTTATAAATACACTAAAACATACACTTTGACATCACAGCGCTGCAGTAATTGAGCCGCGCCATGACAAAACCAACATCCAGCAAGGATCCAGACCAGCCTGCGCATCCGCGCAGTCTGATCAGGATCCATGCTGTTCGCTTACCAACTCTTTTACAAGTAGAGAAACTTAAAGCGGACAGCATGGATCATGATCAGACTGCGCGTATACGCAGGCTGGTCTGGATCTATGCTGGTCGCAAACCCATTATGTTGGTTTTGTCGTGAGGCGGCTCATTTGTATTAATATCCTTTTATTGTCTATAATATGAATGACCAGAAGTTTTGTGTTGATATAGGGTAGACGGTATGGACTTTATGGGAAAAATTCAACTACATGTGTCGTGACAATCATTGACAAGGATTCCCAAGCTGTGAATTGTGTACCAAGTATGTTCAACATATTTTGTCTTATTTTCCTCATGAGTGATGATAATGATGATAATGTCGATAATAATAATAATAATACTCCTCCTCCTCATCATCAACAACAACAACAACAAGAACAACAATAACAACAACAACAAATATCATCAAACATTATTATCAACAACAAGAACAATTAAAATAACAAAATCAAACATAAAACAAAAAAAAATAATAGAGAAATGACAAAGGAATGTTAAAAAAATTGACACCCAGTTTTGCATCGTGAAATGTTTATAAACTTATCTTTTACTACTTTAACATTTCGAAAGAATTTGTCATAGTTACGGAAATAATGTTGTTTGTTAGCCATTACTAAAACCCTAAAGCTAGTGATTTCTTAACTTTTATTATTTTTAGGAACTTTGTCATTTTGTTTTGCTATTTTTATAAATAATCTTACTGTGCTTAGTTAGCGCTGTTATTTTTTACGAACAATACTAATTAAAGTTTTCTTTAAAAAAAACAACAAAGATTATTTAGTCACCCTGTAACTAACTTAGTGTAGCTGGTTATGTAAAGCAATTTTAATGTTATTAAACCCGACTCTTTGATAACTTCCCGCAGGCGAACTGAGGCATGAGGGAACTATTACAGTCGGCTCTGGCAATACGTCTATACAAGCTAACGTTTGGTCAGGTTATGCCGATAATATGCACTGGAGAATGCAAACATCGTCACGTGACTGCACTCCTATATCTCTTACACGATATGGCTTTGACTCACATGGTAGGTAGCAATACTCGCTAGATCTATTTGGAAATTTACAACAAATGATTAAATAAAAAAAAACAACAAAAAAAAAACACCTCTAGCTATTATTCTTAGTTGTGTCCGACGTTTTGCCATTTATTCTATAATGATAATTCATTATTGATAACAATATCATTCGTTTCAGATTTTCTTTGATGCGAGCGTTCTTATCGCTTATATAGTTTTCCGTAAATAACCGCCACCGAACGAATGTTGCCAAATTCTTGTGGAATGGGTCTACCTCAGATCACATTTAGTGTAAGGCATTTTTTCTGATTTAAAATCATACAATGTGAAATTTAAAAAAGATAAAAGACAACTAAATCTATGTGTTATTTTGTTTATTTTCCTAGGATATCCGGTCATGGAGAGTACAACGTATTTGAATATGACACAATATCGACTGAGCGTGCCAGATGCCTTAGAACTCCCGTCCCAGTGTAAATTCGTAAGACTCCTTAAACAAATTTTTATAAGTTTCCAACATCCTATTATTTTTATTACACAGACGCTTTCTATACTTGGTGTTCAGTATTGTCCACATTGGCCATATAATTAAAACACACTTTGCTTCTTTTGCTTTTTAGCTTTTTATAGTAAAATTTTCTAAGAGATTAAGTATTGAAGTGTTGATGATATTGTTGAAAAATACACAAAATTTGATATCTATGCTGCTACTGATGGCAGCAATATTTCTGTTGTCTGAGAAACAGACAGTTTTAGAAGGAACGAAAGTTTTAGAAAACCCGAATGAGAAAAAGAAGAAATTTCAATTTTATATTGTTTATTGCAGGGTGGTACTATTATTGGAAAGTGATAAAGATGGCGTATGTGTGTTTTGAAATACATTTTGTATATTATGTTCTTTTTCGTCCTTTAAAATAAATGTGAATGTTATGAATGTATTTTTTGTGAACAATGTTATGTCAGCAAATATTCAGTTAAACCTAATAAAAACATGTGCTATTTTTGCAAAATCCTGCTATTTTAGGACTCTTTTTCATATCTCTTCTTTTTAAAATGTAATAAAATACAAACACATATGTTGAAGTGATGAACATATATAGACTGCAAACAGAATAATAAAAATGTACGCTAGGCCTATATTTTCCTTTTAGTAAGCTTTCACGTTTTTGTTATCTATATTAAAAATACCACAAAGCAAAATGAACCCTTCAATAATGAACATGTTGATAGCAAAGCAAAATTGAAATGATGTTGCAGCTTTTTTTCCTTCAAGGTGACCGTGCTAATCATCAAATTAACAAGAATTTGATATTGACAAAATAAAAATTCCGAGTCAAGTGTACATATAATCTCAACAGTTTTAAAAACATTTCCTATGCACAATGCTCGGTCCACATTCGTAGTACTCTTGTTTAGAGATCCACATTTGACTGAAAATAGTTAGAGAAGCGAGAACAGAACCACCAATCCATACTGAGTACTTCCTGTCTGAAGGTACAATGACCTTGACCTTCATAGAGCTGGGAACCAAATTGTCTAATTCACATTTCATCCTTTCTGCATTCATTTCCTGTTCAAAGTCTAAGGCGGAATAACACAATTTTTCTTTGATATCGCGAACTATTTTCAATTCAGAGGAAGTATTGAAACTATATCCGCGTTCAATCAGAAGTTTTGACAAATTCTTTGTCAGCGCTTTTCCTGCCAGATTAATCTGTTCAACAGCGTGTGGTAAAGCATATCCTTCATAAATCGGTACCACGTGAGATACTTTGTTACCGGAGTCGAACACCACACCTGTGGTCCTGCCGGCATCGTACTATGATAAAACAGCTTGGACAGACAAGTAGAATGCGGGTATATTAAATGTTTCGAACATAATTTGTGTCATTTTCTCTCTATTAGCTTTTGGGTTTAATGGCGCTTCTGTAAGTAAAACCGAATGTTCTTCAGCCACACGAAGTTCGTTGTAAAATGTGTGGTTCCAAATTTTCTCCATATCGTCCCAGTTAGTGACAATGCCATGTTCAACTGGTGATTTCAAAGACAAAATTTCATTTTCAATTTGAGCTTCGTCGCCAACATACGCATCTTTAAATTGCGATCCAACCATACAAGGATTATACTTAGGACGGCCTACGATTGCCGGAAATACAGCTCTAGGTGCATCGTCATCTGCAAAGCCGGCCTTGCACATATCGGATCCATTGTCAATTACAATGCCAATGCCGTCGTCGTGGCCTTGCGACATTTGTTTTCTGTGAAATATAAACTGAACTCTTTATATGAACACATGCATATGTGAAACCATAGTTTTAAACGGTACAAGTCTAATTGGCACACGTCAATCCGGTCCCAAATCAATCAATCAATTTGTGAGGCATGTTTGTTTTCCCCAAGTTTGTCCAAAGTGAAAGTAGGCCAAAATTCATATAATAACAAAGCTCACAATGTAAAATGATGAACCATTTGAAAGAACACTTCCAGGTTTATGTTTTAAGAACAATTTGAAAAAAAAATAAAAATGATAACAATAAGAAAATTTACCTTGAATGACATGAATGTGCTAGTTTTCTGAAGACCAAGTACAATCTGTTGTAAAGTTTTATGGACATTTCATGAATGGCAAAATCCAGTTTAAAGTCAGTTTTAGTGCAGGCAAATGCTTTTTTTGCATAAAACACAAAAAACTTGCAAAAACTTAAATCTTAGGAAAGTAGTTTATCTGTCCTTGAACAAACATGGCCTTCATGCTATGTGAAAAAGGAGTACCATGAAAACACACATCATTTACCTACTTCTTGTGTACATGACAAACAGACACTCTTCACTATTACACAATAGATAGGTAAGATTTTAAAGTCTGATTGTGTTTTCATTTTTGTTGTAGTTCATAAGGCTATAAATGGTGATTGTCTTCTTGCACTACGTTTTTACAAAATGGTCATATGCTTAGAAGGACATGAGATACTGAATTATTTGGAATTAAGTTTTGAACGATTTTTGTATTTGCTGCAAAAAAATAGCATTTGTTGGCACTAAAGCAGACTTTAAAATGGATTTGGCCATTCATGAAATGTGTATAAAACATAATGTTCTTGGTCTTCAGAAATGTAGCACTTTCAAGGTAAATATTCTTATTGATATCATTTTTATTTTGGTTGATAATTCTCCTTAAAACATGAACCTTGAAGTGCACTTTCAAATGGTTCATCATTTTACATACTGAGCTTTGTTATTAGGGGGCAGGGGACATATCCGAATGATGGTCAAATTTTTTAATAACTCAGACATTATGAAACTGGCATTGCTTGCACTGTGCGTTAGTGATATTTTTAAAGGAATCGAACGGATTCTGGAGTATGCTGCACCTTCATGAAGATATAAATTGCTGTCAGTCATTTTTATAAGGAGCAATGCATGCAAACTATTATTTTCTTCAATGTATGTCATATATCATTGAATAATGTTGTGCAACTGGTTATCTGCCTGTGAAACAGATTTTGAAATATTTGGAATTGTGTTTCTTGCCACACTGAAATACAAAATTGTTCATTTTTAGGTCCCCTGCCCCCTTATATGAATTTGGGCCTACTTTCACTTTGGAAAAACTTACTGACAAAGCGGAATCACCTTAAATGCAATCCGACATTGTACTTCCCGTCAAGGGAGGTTACAAATAATGTTTTGTTCACGTCACTTTAAACGATGATCGATTATTTACCTTTTATATATTCCACAATTAATCATGTCGTTACTTCATTAATACATAATAATTTTAAAAGTAGAAACTGGCATAATACACATGAAAATATCGGCTCAAAATATAAAATGTGCTCCTAGTCAAAAATTGACAACAATTAAAATAGATCTAAATCGAAAATAAGAAATGTTTTACCTTTTTCTTAAAACCAAATATCCTCTCGTTGTTTAAATTGATCCAAAATTGTTGTTGTTTTTAAATTGTTACATCTCGTGGAACTGTTCTATAAAACTATACTATATTTGGTAAATTTTAATGTTCATACTGCAATCGTTGTCAGGGACATTTCATTTTAGCCATCATAATAATAGTTAATCCTTTATTCAAATATAATACTAAATATAGATATAGTAAGTTATACATGTCTATGGAAAAAGTAAAATCTATAACGGGTATAAAATATAGAATGTATATAAATACAAATCACGGTGGTGAATCTGCGCGGCATATTTTAAATTAAAACGGTCCAACACAGAGAAGGATTTTCTTTTTTCTTAGACTGCTTAATCTAGGTACTGTTTTGCAAATATGTGTTGAACGAATTACGAAGGGTCAACATTCATCCATTTTATTTTGTAGAATATCTTGTTTTCCGTCTTCAGGCATTGATCAGTGTTAACCAACAAAGTAATAACTTCAGGACAAATGTCTGTTTTTATGTTTTATTTTAAAATGTAATGAAATATGAACACACACAAACGCACGAGCACATGCTACATATATATGTACATTAGTACATTCATTTTCATATACAGATCAAATTACGGAGAAATCGTTTTTCATTCTCAAAGTCTGATATGGATTTGAAATTACATACAATCACGTGTAAAATGTGAAAGTCAACAACTATGTGAAAAAATAATTATGCATATACATGTATCTTCATTTGCGTTTGATAAAAAAAGAATCTAAAAATACTTGCAAAAAAATGAAAGACAAAGTATTTATATGTTTAAATGTTCTAGACAGATAGTTCTTAGAAACATTTCCTGTGTACAATACCCGGTCCACATTCGTCGTACTCTTGTTTAGAGATCCACATTTGACTGAAGCTTGACAGAGAGGATAGAATTGAACCACCTATCCACACCGAGTACTTTCTCTCTGGTGGAGCAATGACCTTGACCTTCATAGAGCTGGGAACCAAATTGTCTAATTCATATTTCATCCTTTCTGCAAGACCGGGAAACATTGTTGACCCTCCTGAAAGGACAACTTTTGATAAAAGACTTATCTTTATGTCTGTATCACATTTCATGATACTGTTGTAAAGTAGTTCGTGTATTCCTGCACTCTCCATTCCAATAAAAGATGGTTGGAAAAGTGATTCAACACAGCGGAAACGTTCGTTGCCAATAGTAATAACTTGTCCATCCGGAAGTTCGTAGCTTTTCTCTGTCTGAGAAGAACTTGCTGCGACATTCATTTCCTGTTCAAAGTCTAAGGCGGAAAAACACAATTTTTCTTTGATATCGCGGACTATTTCCATTTCGGAGGAAGATGTGAAACTGTATCCGCGTTCATTTAAGATTCTTGACAAATATTGTGTGAGGTCACGACCTGCAAGATCAACACGTTCAATGGCATGTGGTAAAGCATAACCTTCGTAAATCGGTACCACGTGAGATACCCCATCACCGGCGTCAAACACCACACCAGTTGTCCTCCCGCTGGCGTATAATGATAGAACTGCTTGTATTGACACGTAGAAAGCTGGCGTATTGAAGGTTTCGAACATAATTTGTGTCATTTTCTCTCTATTAGCTTTCGGGTTTAATGGCGCTTCTGTAAGTAAAACCGGATGTTCTTCAGGAGCCGCACGAAGTTCGTTGTAGAATGTGTGGTGCCAAATTTTCTCCATATCGTCCCAGTTAGTGACAATACCGTGTTCAACTGGATAATGTAAGGATAGCATTCCTCTCCTGTTTTGAGCTTCGTCTCCAATGTACGTGTCCTTTGCGCCCATTCCTACCATGCAAGGATCATACTTAGGATGACCTGTAATTGCAGGGAACACGGCTCTTGGTGCGTCGTCACCTGCAAAGCCGGCCTTACACATTCCGGAGCCATTGTCAATCACAATGCCGGCAATAACGTCGTCGTAGCCAAGAGTCATTGTTTATTTCTGAAAATTAGAATTACACGTTTTAATCAATTAATGCTCGCAAAGAATAGCACGTGCGATAAAATGATGGTGATTACCCGGGAGGGACCATTTCATGGCACTTAAAAATTATAGCTGTAATAAATAAAAATCAGAGACACTTTTCTGCTCCTTATCAGTAATATTCTAATTTTTATTAGATATACAGCTATATAAAATCAAAAGTTCGTTGCTAGTAGAAAATATCGAAACTGTATGTAGTGATCTACTATATATAAATTTCAGCCAATAGTATAACCAAAGTTGATTTAAACAAAGTGTATTAACGAGCTACAAATAATATGTCATTAAAATTACTTAGTATGCAAAATAGCTTATTCAAAACTTTCCACAAAACTGATATATTTCATTAATCTAAATTATAAAAAAAAGAAACAGTGTTTCACTAACTCGAGGTATAAATTATCTTCTATGACAAAATATAAGCAAACACTTAATATAAATTTTAGAAATCATATACAATAAGAATAATAATAATAAAAATATTTCAAAGTATCGAACACAAAAATTTTCTTACCTCAAATTAAGAATTATATATTCGTATATATAACGTTTACAGCTGAAAGTTTGTTAATAATGCAAATTACCGTAAAGACGCGCATATTTATATGTTAGCATCTATTTGCGAATGTGTCATAGTCAATAAATTACATGGAGCTTTTCTACGAATTTTAACCCTATATGGTAATCTTTATTGTTCATGCTTTTATTTTTGTCTGTGACATACTTTTATTTTTCATCCAGCCCATATACAGTACGGTTAATCATTGTTTGAACGTGTTACTTAAAATAGATATGCTAAAAATAGATATGATTGTATACTGCTTGTAGATGAAACTATGCACTACTGGTAGATGGTTATATAAAATGTCATAATTCTTTTCTATACGAAGTAACATTTTTTTAAAATAATATAATTTTGCTGCAAATTTAATTCTATCCTGTTAATTTAGATGATAAAAGTATTTCCGATTATGATAAAAAAAAATTATGTTGAGCAGTGTAACTACCCGAGCATTAAATCTATAAATAGATCGTCTAAATATAAAATAATAAGTTACCCATATACGGATAGTACATACTTACATACCATATAGTGAATTATAATTTTGTTGAAATAACATTTAAGGCATTTAAAAACCAACAAATGAAGTTAATAAAGAATTGTACAAAATATTCTATAAATGGCATATGATAGCCCTAACTAAAACATACATTGCATTCAATTGTTCAAAAATGCTCAAAGTGTGCCGAACTTTGTTAAAGATTATGTATTTATTCACCGAAAATAATATCAATAAAGCAACATTAAATTTTGGTGGTGATAAAATGGAATAATACTATAAATGCAACTATGAATTTCTCTATTGTCAACTATGAAGGTCTCTATTATTTTAAAGTTCATCTAATATTATCTTAAAGTTCAGAACAGCCACATTATCTGTAGTGTAAAAGTATAAATGTACTTTGATAAAAATGTTTATTCATTAAAATTGTACGTTTTTCTTTTTGTATATAACGATGCCCAGAGTAAAAGTATGATATTTTATGTTTGTAATAGTATCGTTACATGTACAATGCCGAGCAATGTTACAATGCGGCAAAATGTAAGATAAGTTTTTGTTGCACAATTTAATGACCTCCGCTTTATAGGGATGATGATCAACGGTTTTTGTTACTAATAAAGAATATAACGCATAACACTTGCTTATTATCTATTTTATTGTTCTTTTTTTCCTTTGACAATGAACCAGCTAATCATTACCTCGGTCCCCTTTCCTGAGAATTGCAGGGAAAAGGCACCGCCTTACGGTTACGATTCCCACATACTCCAGCTATTTTGGCGCCAAAAGCAAAACATAAATTGACATTGCATGGCGGGAACTGATGGATGTAATCTTTCAGTGTCCCGTGGTCGGGGTCAGTGACTAATGTATACACACGGATAGAACCTGCACACTGCCGGTGTACGTTAGGGCCAGGGTTACAATGGTCTATGCGTACAAAATAGACAGACAGAACTTTACAGCATTATATTAGAAAATCTGATAGCAGGTAATTGAAAATTTCTTAAATTGATTAAAAAAATAACAACAATAACATATTTGCCTACCAATGATTTTTTTTTAAAATATGATGTGTATAACACTAAAAAGATCTCTATGTTTGCTAGATAGTGACGATAAACAACATGTTTATGTCTTTACAGTCGTATTTGTGTATAATAGACAACAATTAATAACTTGAATCTGCCTGTCCATATATGGTAAATCTCATAATTATATACGAATAAGAGCTTTTAAGCTATAAATAGATTATCATAACAAATAATGTATATATGGCTATATTTAGATTCCTATGCCTCGTTAAGCCACAGGTAGCTACACTGCTTTACATTCAGATGGCGACAGCCAATATTATAAATATTAATTATAATACTTAAATACTTCTTTATAGAACGTATACATTTATTATATATATTCTGTTATTTTCAGTATTGATATTTATTGGTGAAAATGGTATTATTTAAAATTCTTCCTGTAATAGAATCTACCTTGATTATTTTTTTGCAGTGACGAGGCTTTCGCGGGAAGTATACTATCATTTCTATATTTAGTAACTATGTTAATATTGTAGGTCACAGGTAAAAATAAGAACGCGAGTATAATGATTTAACCATATAGGGTCATCTTTCGCAGAAAATATGAATGACAAACTTTCTGACGCATTTTAGGGTGTCAACAAATATCGCCGACTATATAAAAATAGACAGGGTATCTACTGCTGTATATTCGTATCCCAAGGCACATCAAAGCAGTTTGCGGAGTATATTCATATATATTTTAGTAAATAAAAAGACAAATAGGTAAGTAAAGTAAGGATATTAAGAAATTCTTACATCCATTTTCAATTTTCATAAATAGCTTTCATTTCTTTGCTTTTTTAAAGCAGAAAATATTTTTTTCTTTATGTATTCTTTAGATATAATTAAGCTAGAAATATATTAAGTACCCAATGTATCGTCTCAATCTCCGGATAGATTTTATTATTTTAACCGATGTTTAAATATATTTTGTATTAACAGACTATTACCCGCATTTATATTTACATGTATTTTCAGAAATAAACAATGACTTTTGGCTACGACGATGATATTGCCGGCATTGTGATTGACAATGGCTCCGGAATGTGTAAGGCCGGCTTTGCAGGTGACGACGCACCTAGAGCCGTGTTCCCTGCAATTACAGGTCACCCGAAGTATGATATTTGGATGGCGGGGATGGGCGGTAAGGATACGTACATTGGCGAGGAAGCCCAGAACGATAGGGGTGTTTTGTCTATAAAATACCCTATTGAACACGGTATTGTCACTAACTGGGACGATATGGAGAAAATTTGGCACCACACATTCTATAATGAACTTCGTGTGGCTCCTGAAGAACATCCGGTACTACTCACTGAAGCGCCATTAAACCCGAAAGCTAATAGAGAGAGAATGACAGAAATTATGTTCGAAAACTTCAACATACCTTCTTTCTACGTGTCAATACAAGCAGTTCTATCATTATATGCCAGCGGGAGGACAACAGGTGTGGTGTTAGACATCGGTGATGGGGTATCTCACGTGGTACCGATTTACGAAGGTTATGCTTTACCACATGCCGTTGAACGTGTAAATCTTGCAGGTCGTGACCTTTCAAAATACTTGTCAAGAATTTTAAATGAACGCGGATACAGTTTCACATCTTCCTCCGAAATGGAAATAGTTCGCGATATCAAAGAGCAATTGTGTTATGCCGCTTTAGACTTTGAACAGGAAATGAATGTCGCAGCAAGTTCTTCTCAGATAGAGAAAAGCTACGAACTTCCGGATGGACAAGTTATTACTATTGGCAACGAACGTTTCCGCTGTGTTGAATCACTTTTCCAACCATCTTTTATTGGAATGGAGAGTGCAGGAATACACGAACTACTTTACAACAGTGTTATGAAATCTGATATAGACATAAGAAAAGATCTTTTATCAAATGTCGTACTCTCAGGAGGGTCAACAATGTTTCCCGGCCTTGCAGATAGAATGAAATGTGAATTAGACAATTTGGTTCCCAGCTCTATGAAGGTCAAGGTCATTGCGCCACCAGAGCGGAAGTACTCTGTGTGGATTGGTGGTTCTATTTTATCTTCTCTAACTAATTTCAGTCAAATGTGGATCTCTAAACAAGAGTACGACGAATGTGGACCGGGTATTGTACATAGGAAATGTTTTTAAGAAATTCTGAGACTCTAATACATTGTCTTTCAAATTCGTAAATAGTTGTTCCTTTTTCATATGCTTTCATTTGTTTATATATATTTATTTGTTAACAAAGAAGTGTTCATTTGCATTTCGCCTTATGTTTTCTTAGTGAAAGGAAAATTTATTGTTTACTCAAATTTGCATTTTTTCAACCAATGTTGTAAATATACATATGTAAATATTCATTGAAATAAAGTATTGTTATGTAAGTTGAGGTTAAATATTTTTGTACAGAATTCATCAAGTATTTGATATACAAGATCATTGTATCTGTCGAAGGAATGGTTCATTTGAAAAAAACTTGTAGCAGGGTTTGGCTAAATAACCATTTTTATGCTTCAATGTTAATTCTGTTTAAGCCGGTGCTAGGGAGCGTTGACGGTAACATGCAATGAAAACTACCATCCATGAACAGGATTAACTAAACGGAACATTTGTGCATTTCATATATGAAACTGATGCGAGACATGCCCTTTGTAAAGTTTGAAGGCACATTTGTTACAGTCACATAACTAAAATATTCGAACCAATATATAAATCAAATCAATTTTAAAACCTAATTTGTCGAGTTTCAAGATATGCTTGTACATAAGATAAAGCATAATAACTTTTATAACAAAAGCATTTTTTTGTTATTAGCAAAACATAATCATGTATATATATTTCCGGACAGAAGCAAAATCAATAAAAAAGTGCATCTTGCATAATTCAATATAAAGAAGCCTAATGCATTATGCAACAAATGGGAAAAACGCAATGCCACAACATAAATTATAACAATAAAATCATCAACAACAAAAACATATAACCGCTACATCAAAATTTTATTATGCATGATAAAGAAACAAGATGATATGATTTTTGAGTCTGATGAAGACTTTATATCAATAGAAAAAAACAATCTGTTGTACATGTTGGGAGCACGTGAACATTAAATACATGTATCTATATAAAGAAAGAGAATTTTTACGAGATATCAAGTTATGAGGTTTCAACTGTGTCATGGAATTTTCAAGAATTTTAAGTGTTTGACTAAATATGCTTCAATTTTAGGAACTTTTGGGTTAGCAAGTTGAAGTTTGACAGCTTCCTGCATAAAATCTTGTCAGACTGCATGGATTCTGGTGGCAAAGGCTAACCACTTTCAGTCCAAGCAGTCCATATATGTTTAAATAAATAATCTTTATTCCCTCTTACATTAAATTCATTTGTATTATTGTAGATTAATAAACTTGGACCATCTTAAGGCAACCCTACAGTTTTTCCTTCAACGCGTTTAGAAGAGTGTAGAATACTTCTAATAATTAATGGAATTCTGAAAGTGAAAGGACATGGTCCGCTCTGAGATCTGTGATTTTGGGGAAAACCCCATATAATTTGGCAAAATTACAAAAGTTTTTGAATATGAGATAAAACTTAATGTTATTTTATCAACACTGCAATATACATATATACATGTTTATCACACACCCGTGCCGATTTTGCGACTCCGTAAAAATGGTATTGCACGGCCGTGCATATATTTTGACGTGACGTCATTAGCGTTATACAAACATAGTGTAAAGACGCGCTAAATGTTAGCGTTATACTATAGACGCGTCAATGAAAAATGACTCTTATTTCACTTTAAACGGTATTTATTTTGGGTATGTGATAAATAGAATATTAAATTCGTGTAAGTTCCATACTGAATTTATTGCACTCGTTGAATAAAATAATATTATGCTCGCCAGAGGCTCGCATAATATAATTTTATTCAACTCGTGCAATAAATTCAGTATTGAACTTACACTCATTCAATATCCTCTATATAATAAATGTGTTCATATTTTCGTCTTTTTTCGTCCGACAAATAATGTTTGTTTTGTTGAACAATCAGTCCACATTTAGTTTTCTGAAGGAGGCCTCGGGAGGTTTCTCCGCGGATTTTCTTTTTTCTGTGTCCACGTAATATTTACCACTAGACATTTCCAACATGTATTTCCTGAATTCTTCTTTCTGTATATCTTGAATATTTTGTTCTGTAACATGGGAAACATGTATCATGTTAGTTTGATAAAAAAGTTTTTGAAATCTTATGATTTTGAAAAAGAGATCTTTCGAGTGCAATGAAAGCACAAAAACAACAACAACCTACAAAAAAAAACAACAACAAAAATCTAAATATTCCACATTCATTTTGAGAAGTAATGGAAGGGGCGACAACTCTCAGACCCCCTAGCACCGGCTTCAGCGATATTACATCTTAAACATTAAAAGATATTGGAATGGATGATCTCGAATCATCACTAAATTCTAAAATGAAATCCGTGACAATTGTTTACCAATGCCATTAAATTAATAGAGAAACATGTTATTTTTAATACTGAAAGGCCCATTGTGCATCAGAAATGCTATCATATTTTTTTAAACTTTATTTTTGGTATCTTGTAACAGTTTCCACCAACATACTAAGTAGTAATATTCATGAACTATCTTCTACCATTTTTACTTTTGGCAATAGGGGTAATTATAATGAAACAGTATTTTGTATGGAAGTCAAAATACTACTTTGCTTACATTTTGTTACATTTACAACACATAACTTCCACGACTAATGTACTCAGTTATAAAACAACCAACATGCTTTGACTCCATTATTTAACAAAAGTTTGACATTTCGACTGTAAAGAATTGAAAAATAATGAATTTTTGAGGCATAATGGGCCTATAAAAATCATATACATGTATATGTATGATACATTCTTTTTACAAAGAGAATATATATAAAACAAATAAAGTGTACAATTCTTAAGAATGACTTTTACCAATGATTTCCTGTCTAGTTCCGGCTGAAGGACCTTCATAATCGTCAGGTAAATATTCATCAGGGAACACTTCCATGCCAAGTTCCTCGTATATCTTTACTAAACTTTTACCATGTGAGTGCATCTTAAAAAAGAACAAAATGTTAACTCAACACTGGTGTCAAAAAGGCTTTCTTAAGATAATGAAATCTATGTTCGTCTATAACCGAATGTTATTTTGACTTTGCCATCAGAAAAGACCAGATAACTAAAATGATTATTTTGGAAAAACGGAGTGAGTGAATGATCTGAAATTTTGCACAAAAGTTTTTAGTCTAGACCTACATCAATTGGAACATTGATCTCGGAAAAAATATTTCTAGTACCGTCACGCCAATAAACCTTAGTTGAGTCCCTTTAATCCATTAATGAACCGTTCTAAATTCAAAGAAGGAAATGTCCAATACACGAATTCAGTAGGCAAAGGGTTATATCTTTGACTACTTTTAAATATACTAAAATCTAACCAAATTAGCTGGTATATATATAAACATAGATTATTGCCTTCTCACAATCATGTCATAAACAAGGGAATTTCATAAATGGATTTGAGTATCATTTGACCAGCTTCTACATTTGAAACTGTCCATTGTCAATGTTGAGGTTATCAAGAATTGAAGATAAAATGCTTAAAACTTTTCAGTTCAAGCAGCTCAAGAGTTAGAATTTATTATTAACCGGAAAAGCATGATTTATCTATTAAAATGTCCAGTGAATGGATGTCATGCAATAATGCACTACATCCAAACAGGAAAATTTCACCATTTTTCTCATTACTAAAGCGAGATAACTTTCATAGAATACGTACAACTAAAATGAAAGGCATGTCGTTTGTTTGTTTGTTTTTGGTTTTACATCACATCGACACAGTATAGGTCATATCGCAACGTTCCAGATTTACTGGTGGAGGAAGACCTCAGGTGCCCTTCTGTGCATTGTTTTAGACACGAACGTGCACCTGAGTAGAACCCCCGACGTTCCGTAAGCTAGCTGGAAAGCTTCTTCACATAAAAGAATCCAAAGTCCCAGTCGGGATTCGAACCCACAGCGGTGAGGGGCAAGTGATTTGAAGTCAACGACCTAAACCACTCGGCCGCGGACGCCCCACATGTCGTTTGTAAGCAAGACTTGTATCCTTTGCAAGAAAAATATATGACAATACAGTCTAAAATTAAACTAAAACTGTGTTGGTAATAAATGTTTTATAGCAATCTTACCCTGTCCTTAAACTTTTGGCTCATAAAAGGTGATATGATGGCAAACAAAGCATCGATGAAAGCAGGCATCTTGTACAAATGGAATGCCTTGAACCGCATGGGTAACGATTTCTATACAAATAAATAGTATTGCACATATTAATAAATCCTTGTTATGAAAATACATTACAGTTCAAATATTACTCCTACACTCCAAGATCTTTGCAGAGTCAACGCGTAAAGTTTTAGTATAATTATAGCTTATTACCTATCGAATTTAGTATTATTGATCTATCTAACTTTATTTATTGAATTTCAACATTTCACTTGACGAAAATACAAAATTGCAAAAGAAAATATAATTCTAATCTTTAAATTTTTATATTGCTAACTTAATGGGTAACTATTTCATTTTATTAGTTTAAATAAAAGTTCAAATAGATCAAATTAAATGTTTTTTTATTTCTCTCAAAAATGATGAACACTGACTTCAACGACAACAACAACAACAACAACAACAAGCAGCAACCCCCCCCCAAAAAAAAACAAAAAAAAAACAACAAAACAACAAAAAAACAAGCAAAAAAAAACAAACAAACAAAAACCAAACAAAACAACGAAACCAAACAAACCCTAGCCCAAACAAGAAATTTAGTGTCATTTACCTGGAAATAAGCCAACATTTTCTTTTCTGCTTCTGGGTTCCAAAATTTGATAAATTCCATGGACGCTCCAGTATAGTCGGACACGAATACTACTCCGTTCACTTGTGCCTTTTCATCATAAGCCAGCCAATCAAAGAGAAGGCAGCTGGTTTTGTACAACAAGTCTTGTCCTTCTTTAGATTTCATCATACTCAAGTCCATATTGTCTGTAATAGAAATAGAAACTTATTTATTTATATAATGGGACACAATGAAATACAATATTTATAATTGGGACACCAGCAATATTGGTGATTAGCGCAGCGGTAGCTTTTCGTCCAATCAGGCGTTCGCAACGCCATTTTGTCTTTTTGATCATTGTGGACTGGGTTTTTTTCGGACGAAGTCCGTCTGTTATCGGTTTGACTTCCTGTAAAATAATAGGGAAGGACTGTATATAAGAAGAATTTCCCTTGGTCATTTTAAAATTACAAAATGAAAATCAGTTATTTTAAAAATAAAATGTATTGGACAGTTCCAACTATTATAAAAAATGTAAAGAATAGTTCTTACAATTCTAAAATAATTTTTTAAAGATAAATCTATGATAAAATTTAAGAGATAGTTTTGTCCCTATAAAATAAAATGTAAAGGAATGAGGATAGTTCCTTAACTTGTAGGTTCATTTGTAAATGATTACAAAATTAATAAAGTCAAACGGAAAACAAGTAAAAAGGAAACATTAAATAGAAGTTGTTCTTCTTTGAAAAATCATCAATCTATCAATATGCTATAAGTTAATCCCATGTTTACAAAATGGGTATTATTTTAATAGCTACAAGAAATAATTGTCATGTCATTGTTATGCAAGCATTGCTAACATTTCTTTTTGTATTGAAAACTTAAAAATAATAATATGGAAATATATGCCGTAGTATGCGGCCACGTTCATGAGTTAATGTGTCAGACGTATTGGCAGAAAACACTGCTAGAACTATTTTTTTATGCAAGAAAAAATTAAACAATGGCAGAATGATACGCCATCGCGCACCTGCAAAATGCCCCGAATCGGACTGTTATGTTGTTGTTGTTGTTTTTGTCGACTCGTAGAATTTTTTTTCATTCTAAGAAATCGTTAGAATATCAAGAAATCGTTAGAATATCAAAAAATAATGCGGTGCGCCCAAGATTGACTTAAGTTTGATTGGGAGCATCGTGCAGATGCGCGATGACGAAGTACCCTACCATTGATTTAAGGTATTTAAACCTGACAGGATTGGAAATATTTTTCGAGATCTGCAGAAAAGAAACTTACCCATGCTCCCAAATATAACTTTGCGCCCGTGTTTGTCGTATCCCTTTGGACAGTACATCATTCTGCAATTATTTTATTCAAATTTCACACATGCATATGAAACATTTTCTCAACACTTCATTTTTTTGGGAGAGCGTCCGACTGACAATTATGTGCGCGCTGGTTCGATCCTCGGGGTGGTGGCCTGACAATTGAACTAGGAAATTGAGTAAAATGGTCAATTGTCATCTTGCCGTGTTTGTGAGTCTTGATTTAGCAAAAGTGGATAACTTATGATTCTGATGAATTTATTTATTTCCGACTTATAAAAACACTACGATGATCCGTTTAGAACATCGCGACGTATCGAAACAAACAAACACATAAAAAACAATAACACTATGGTTTTGATAAAATCAAAACAACGAAATTCGAAAGTACGGTGTACTTATTTTTATGACACTGATGGTCAATCTTTATACGATATCTCTACTATTCACCACCTTTTTACACTTTGAAAGAAACTAAGAATGTAGTTATTTCAAGCTAGTCAAATTAATTCGATTATAGTAATATTTTTCTAATTTGAAAAATAAAAACGTTGAAATATTTGATACTTTGGAAACTTACCCAGTACGCAGAACTTTGTGTATTTTCTCGTCTGCGGGGTCGAGGTTTTTGAACCATTCAGGGACATTAGTTCTATTTGTCCAGTAGTTTTCAAGGGTCTCCCTAGCCCCGAGTTGACTGTATTTCCTTACGCGAATAAACCGTAGAAGGAATTCGAAATCTGAAAAAACAACAACAACAATTGCATAAGTGGCGGCACGGCCGGGTGGTTAATGCGTCTGACTAGTAATCTAATGATCGCTAGCCGCATGGGTTCAAACCTCGTCAGGGGCTATTCGTTATTCCTTGAGCAAGAAACTTTACACTCATTGCTCAGTACTGGTTGGTTTCAGGAACGGATTCGAAAGTGTGTCTATAATAAGCTTATAGCTTCCTACACAATCGAAATAAAATAAATTCTTTATAAACCAACAATTGCACAAACTAAGAGTCAAGTATGGATGATAAATAGTGTCTGGAAAATGAAAATAGATAAATAAATAAATAAACTCCATCCAAAGTTAGAGGACCATTAAAAGTACCAACGTACCAAGTTTGGAAGACAAAATTAAAAAAATGAAGTTACTAGAAGATATTGAAGATATATCCAACTTCCCAGAACATGTTGTTTAACCATATCTATTGTCAAACCACTAAAAAAGGAATAACAACTTGCCAAATTCATGTAATTTGTTTTGAAAAGTAAGTGTGTAAATTATGAAGCCATAGGTACAGGAAGAACTTAATATATACCCAACTTGTCGGTTTAGATGGGCAGACGTACGGTTCAATTAATATAAGCTCGCTCGGGGTAAAAATGTCTTGACAGCAAATAGATCTGTATTCAAGCCAACATTTGTATAGTGTTCATTTTTACGTGCTCAATCTGAATATCTATTTTAATTCATGCACTTATTAATTGTTAAAAGTTTATATAAATATATTCATTGACCCTTGTTAAGAGATAACTTAACACTTCTAACGAAATGCCTGGGTAGTGAGCTTCAATTAAAGCCGACGAAAAGTGTAACTACATCGCTTGCACGAGTGACATGCTACAGTCACACAGATAAAACTTGTGCAATTCCCTTTTATAATTACTCTACCCTTTATCTAGAAAATATGAAGAAAATATATAATATTTCAAGCCAAATACATTGTTAATGAAGCCAAAATTTACCTGTCATGGTTTTGAGCCATTTCTGTTCCAGCGCCCACTTTCGTAACGCCTGTACAGCGCCCTCTCTGTCTTTGTCATTCAGTTCATGAAGCTCTTCTTTAGCCCGTTTCTTTTCCTCCTCGTTAAGTTTACTTACATATTTAGCATCTCCTATGAATAGTTTTAAGAAAAATAAAATGCAGTAAGCCAAGCATCCTATAACTTCCTGAATATAAAATAACAAATTTGTGAAATCATAAGATTATATCTTCAATGCTCATCTTGATAAACATTATGCAATACGGGTATTTCATTAAATGTCGTTTTCAATGTCGTAGCTGTTACATTAGACTAGATATTTCAGAAGATCCTCTTTCGGACCAAGATATTCATTATTTCATACTTGTAATTTTAAGGGGTTGTTCATTGACTCCAGGACATGTCATGTTCAAGCCAAGAAGTCACTTGTTGGTGCCCCAATAAGAAGAATACACAAGAACGCTTGTAACACTACCACTAAGCTAACGACATACACTGACCAGAAAAAACAAATTAAGACGCTTGGTAGCGCTTTAAGTAAATTAGGCACTGCCACTAAGTTAGCGACATACATGAACCAGCAAAAACCCACAAAAACTCTTGATAACGCTTGAAACTATCGCACAACCACTCGCATTACGACATATATGGACCAGAAAAAAAACCACAAAAACTCTTGATAACGCTTGAAACTATCGCACCACCACTCGCATTACGACATATATGGACCAGAAAAAAACACAAAAACTCTTGATAACGCACAACCACTCGCATTTCGACATATATGGACTAGAAAAAACACACAAAAACTCTTGATAACGCTTGAAACTATCGCACCACCACTCGCATTACGACATATATGGACCAGAAAAAAACACAAAAACTCTTGAAAACGCACAACCACTCGCATTTCGACATATATGGACCAGAAAAAAACACACAAAAACTCTTGATAGCGCACAACCACTCGCATTTCGACATATATGGACCAGAAAAAAACACAAAAACTCTTGATAACGCTTGAAACTATCGCACAACCACTCGCATTACGACATATATGGAAAGAAAAGCACACAAAGGCGCTTCGCTTATTAACGCTTGAAACTATCGCACTATCAATCATCTAACGATGTACGTGGACCAGAAAAACAAGCTAACACACTACCGCTAATCCAAGGACATGCATACATGTACAGAAATTCAACAAATTCACAAGAAAGCCTGATAACGCTTGAAGCAGGCACAACCATTGATTACACATGGACTTCAGATTCCTTTAATTTTCTTTTATACATTCACGATTAAACAACTTTGATTTCCTTTCATGCCCCGATAAGGTCACACTCACAGTCTCGACATTGACCCGACTGTACATTTAGCCTTTAATATTTTTTGAAAACGAAATTAATGTTCAATGTTGTAATAAATTTGGTATTGTGAAGCTATATACAACATATGAAATACTCATTCAAAGCTTATCGCAACTTTATTTGCAATGAACATATTATACATGCATAGACATACTGATAAGAAAATTTTCGTCTGTGTAATTGAAATTTTTTTATTTCCCTGAGGGTCATTTAATAGCACATGGCTAGGAGATGACGAATTAAATAAATAAAATGTTTTATCAGTCATGAGTTTTTGTTTGTTTGATAGTTACATTGTCACATAACATACAATGGTGACTCATTCGCCTTTAATATTACTGATGGAGGTTAACAATTATATCCCTAAGACACTAGGGAGACCCTGTGTATATTTCAGAAGTAAAACTTGTATATAATACAATAAAGAAAACGGATACTTTTTGGTTTTGACCCTGGGGTCTATTCCCGGATATACTGATCTCCTGGATTAGACCCACAAATGGGGCATCTGTCTTTTTCATTAATATTGTTTATAAAACATTTAATTACGCAAGAATAAACCGTCAAGTCTCAAAAAAGTAAAGATTGCAGTTTATAAAATATTTTTAATTGACCGTTTACAGGGGCGGTTCAAGCCGGGGGTAGGGTCTGACCATAAAGCTCAAGAACATACATATATGCACATACACATACATATGCACAAGCTGGTACCTTTGGTGTGTAAATGAAAAATTTCAGAATGGCCATGTAGTATTAAACAAAAGTACATACGTACATATTCATTAATAATAGTATATTGATAATATAATAATAGTACTATAATAATAACAACACTGCTGTTTAAACATATATGTCTTAAACCATATAATATGGTTTAAGACATATGTTTAAACAGCAGTTTTGTTATATTTGCTTAATTTCTTCCGCATAATAATTATAAAAGATGTATATAAATGAACTCACCTGGTTCCACTGCCATTGTGAGTGAGTAAAACCAAACTAAAATCCGATCAAACACGTCGCATAGATATGATAACTTACAACTTGTATTTGCAATATTTGACCGTATCTTGTTTACTGTAAAAATTAAGGAGAACTGCAAACTAAATGGACAATAAATCAATCTGTCGCAGTTATTCGGACGTGTAGGTTTATCTAGAAACGTATGCGTACACAATTTGTTAAATTTCATCAGGTAAGGTCATTAAGTGGCACATGTATTTATATCGATAAAATTATACATTTGTTTCTATATCTAAATAAACAGAAATACTAAAAGTACATTTGTTAATTTGTATATGAAGTTTTTTTATTGTGGCGTACTTGCTACATAAAACGCGTTTAAATTTGCAGTCTATTATAAGTGTATAATATTATATCAGTCTGTACAACCGTATACAAGTACATATATCGGCAACTTTATAAGTACGCCCACGTGCACTAATCAAACTTCCGGGTGTGATATTACAGGTTTTATATTGTTGTATTTCATCAATTTCGTTTTCATTGGATTTTCTTATTTTAATATATAATGTACGCGATAAAATTAATAAGTTCTTCATCAAGATATATTTCAGTTGTACCAGCGTGTACACCTACACCGGAAGTGGGTATAACACGTCACAATCTCGGTCTCGTCTGTCTCGCGAGAATGACAGAACGCCAAAATGGCGGCGCCCATGAACTTATTTCTCAAGTAAAAAATAGTGTCTTAAAACACGAATTTCTCTCTTATAGGGTTAATGTCAATAGGAAAACTGTCATGGTTCCTCTTTTTAAATGATGAATATTTATATTAGACAGACATCAGTCCATCCATTCCTATTCCTTTAATATTGTAACATATTAATACGCATATATTACTTAAATCATTGATCTATCTCCAAAAACAAATGCAGCCGGTTGTTTAAAAAAGGTTATTTCTTAAAGGAACTCCAATGAGGTCCAAAACCCTTAAACTACAAAATTTGAATTTCTTACATGGATCAGTTGGGTGTGAGCGAGTGATCTGAAATTTTGCAGACAAGTTATTTGTCTAGAACTACATCAAATGGAACATTAATCTCAAAACATTATAATTACCAGTCCCATCATGTCAAAAATCTTCAGTGGAGTCCCTTTAAAGTTAAAATTACATTTTTCATGCAAAGAAAACTTAATTAAGCTAACCGTTTACCTGCCGGACGAGAGACCGTCTACATTGTGCCAAGATATTGTAAATCAATTTAAATGTTTATTTCAATTGCAAAAATACTTTGCATTTTATTTAGAAAGAAAGGTAGCTTTTCACATAGGTTCATTGGAAATTCAAATATCAATAACAGCTACATATATTTAGAAGGGTTATATGTCGCCGCTTCCTTAAAGGCACATTATGCCTCAGAAATCCATATAAAATTCTTTGAAAATATTAAACATGTGTTACATAATGTTTTAATACTGGATTAAGAGCTTACTACATGTAAAAATGTGTTGTAAAGTTAGAAAAATGTAAATAAAGTAGTATTTTGACTTCCAAACAAAATATTAATTTATAGTAATCGTAGCAATTGCCAGCAAAGCAAAAGAAGCAAAGATAGTTTATCTATCTGGCAAATGAGTAATTTTTGGAAACTGTAACAGGATACCAAGTAAAAAAGTTTTTAAAAGCATTTCTGATGTACAATGGGCCTTTAACTTATAAATGGCGGATTGGGCCGAAACGTTACAATTATTAAATAATAGTTAACTGGAAAGTCAGGCGAAGGCGTTGAAACTATAGCTTGGATTTGACAAACAATTTTTATTTTTCAACGAAGAATAACGCAATCTGTCCATATATGACTACTTGAGATGAGAAAAAAATTACTGCTTTGACGACAAATTTTCTCATTAAACTGTTTATTACACCATAAAACAAAATGGCAATAACAACATAAAACATACATGTATAACATGTATACATATATAATTCATAGAAATAAATCTCTATTTAAAATGACATATAGATCTGGGAATTCTTTTCAGTATAAATTTTAGAACAAAAAAATAGAATACATGGTAAATGTTAAATACACAAACATGTACTCAATTAAATAATATCTGGGACAGGACACTCATAAGCTTTCCTAGCTTTCTGACCAATCCCAAATGTATTGTGTAAATATTGTTCATCATCATGTAAAATATATCGAATAAAATATGTTTTAATCAAATAATATATCCAATAAAAGCACGTTTTTGTCATGAATGTTATGTTTCTTGTTTGTTTGTTTGTTTGTTTGTTTCATTTTACGCCTTTTTCAACAGTATTTCAGTCATAAAGGCGGGAAGTCCTGGAAAGTTACACCAGTACTAGACTACCTTCCTCCGCGCTAAACTACCAAAGCATCTCCCGGGGATCGAACCCACGCCAGAGAGGTAACTGGATTAGAAGTCATCGACTCTAACCCCTCAGTAACGGATACATCCAGTACATATAAACAAGAGGGCCATGATGGCCCTGAGGTCGCTCACCTGTATATAGCCCCCCCCCACCCCCCCAACGATGCAGGGCCAATTTTAACCCAAGGGCTTTTATTTGCACAAACTAGGTAGACACCCATAAGAAGATGTTTCATGCTAAACATCTATAAGCTCTAGCTCACTGGGCTTTTTAAAAGAAGTTTTTTTAAGTTTTCACTATACACATATAGTTAAAAACAATGACAACCCTGGGGCCGGGCCAGTTTTTTTAAGTTTTTACTATATGCATATAGGGAAAATCAATGACCCCCTGGGGCGGGGCCAATTTTTACCCCAGGGCTTTCATTTGAACAAACTTGGTAGACACTCACTAGAAGATGTTTCATGCCAAATATCTAAGCTCTGGTTTTTTTTAAAGAAGATTTTTAAAGTTTCTTTCTTTCGGTTGCCATGGCAACCAGAGTTCTGCATGGAATTAAATTCTTTGAATAATTTTAAAGGTGACCACCAAAGGAACATTCCTGTGAAGTTGGGATGAAATTGGCTTAGTGGTTTATGAGGAGATGTCATTTAAAGTAAAAGTTTACGGATGGACGACGGACGGACGACGGACGGACGGACGCCGGACGAAAAGCGATCGAAAAAGCTCACCCTGTCACTTTGTGACAGGTGAGCTAAAAATGCACGACTCCGAAGCAAATATTTAATAATAGCATTTTTTTTTTTTGAAGCATTAAGCATTAGTAATAACAAAATGTATTTGTAAATCTGCATATTTTAAAATTGTAAAATTGTAAATGAGACACATTAACTTGAAAATATCAATGTAAAAACAATAAGCTCAAATGTGTAATGTAATCTGTAATGGACTTGTCTAGCCCGCATTTCTGGAACTGTCCATTACAGATTTTGGGGATATCAAGATGAAAGTTCAAGTTAGTTCGTAGAGCCTGCATGGTTTAAAAATAAAACACAATTGTGAAATGACATTTTGTGTTAATTTGAATCGTCCATGAACCGGCTCAATCAAACCGAGCCTGCAACATTTTCAATTTTGTCTTGTTGGGCTTTCATTAGGTATTCATTATTTCTCTCTATTGACAGTTTCATTTCAAAGTAGACAAAATGAGTCAAACTTCAGTTCTTAAGAAGTGTCAATATTTGATTAATTATATTTATCACACACCCAAGCCGATTTTGCGACTCCATAAATATGGTATTGCACGGCCATGCATATATTTTGACGTGACGTCATTAGCGTTATACAAACATAGTGTAAAGACGCGCTATATGTTATCGTTATACTATAGGCGCGTCAATGAAAAATGACTCTTATTGGCGACGCCGGTGAGCGGCGTCGTCTATTATGGAACGCTTTTTATTTTTGCCTATGGAAGGAGCTGTTATTATTAGCAGTTAATTTCATGTTGTGTTAATTAGTTTTATTTTGATTCGTAAAATTCAAGTAAACAAATGTGTTATTATATTTGTATTTAATAACTTTTTATAAAAAGCATGTGCATTGTGATATTATTTTCACGAAATTTCAGGTTAAGTTTAACAGCTTTTCCCTTAGTTTTAATGACAATACTAAAACCCGGATTTCGAATATCGTTGTGGTCTAGATTGAGGCCGTATCGGTTCATTCATTCATTTATACATTTTCAAAAATTTTCTACAAGAAGAAAGTTCACCTGCAATTGAGTATAAGGATAGGTAATGGAACTGTTGTAAACGATTATCCTATTGATTTTATCCTTATTACATTTATGCTGTTGCGCAGAATGGTTGTTTTTACAAAGTGTACCAGTATCCGGATGTTGAAAGCTATCCGATTTTCTGCAATTACTGCTGACACATGGCCATCTATTTTTTTATGAATACATTACCATTAATTTGCATGGCTTGATAAAACTGAACCTGCAGCATTTCATAATTTTGCTGTTTAGGGTGTTCTTTTGGGTTTCAGGTTTTCTTTATTTTAAGGGAAGTAACTCATGTTTACTAAATTATTTGTTCTTTTCTGTCTATCTTAGGTATTTACTTATAATATATTTTTTGTTGTATATAATTCACCAAGTTGTACAGGTCATCAAAAGCATGTTAATGTTAGGATTCATATTTATTTAATATAAACTGGGAATTATTAATGTTATGTGCATACATGTATATCTTAGACAGTAGTATATTGATATGTTGAGACTTATATTTTCTGCATTTAAAGAGATACAGTTATGTCATTATTATTAAAGGGATGAGACTTTCATTTAAAGTTTATAAATGAATAAAACATGTATTGATTGAAAATGTCCTTAAACTTGGACTAAGCAATGTAATTAATAAAGTCTCAAAAATCATATTCTGAATAGTTTATCTATTTTTTTTTCTAACATGTGCATAGTTTTTGAAAAAAACAGCTTCGGTCTTATCTATTTGTAATGAAGAGACACCGGTCTCAACCTCCAGGTCTCCTGAGTCAACCCGACAACAGACTGTACATAGAGTAGATTGTTACTTGCCCTTGAATAAATTTGTGCACTAAATTATAGTGGGTGATTTGTGCCACATGAAAACCAACATAGTATAAAAAGTAACTGGGCGCCAGATGAAAACATGAAAATACAATCTACCAAAAGTGGTTTGTTTGTTGCATTTTCATGTTTTTGCCCGGTGCCCTTGATGCAAAAAATACAAATCAGCCTTCGTAAAATTTCTTATGTTGGTCACAGGTTTTGAGTTCTGGTCAAGCTCAAAGTTTTTCTCATCCTGTGACTGCATATAAGCATGAGTTCAATTTCCTATGCTCTGTAACATAAGAAATTCACGAACACAAATCGATATAGTGGGGAAATATGTTGTGGTTTAGAACTGTTTCATTATTAAAGAGAAAATGTGTAGCAGGCCGGATAGCTCAGTTGGTCTTCTGAAAGTCATGGGTTTGAGTCATGGTCAGGCAGTTTAGTCAGGGTTTAGAAGTGGTTTTTTCAACTGACTCATGTTTGATTCATTTAACAGATTGCATTATTTGAAATGGACAAAGGCAGTACTGCATTATACTTTTAGATCTACAAAAGGGCATTTGATACAGTTGAACACACACACTATACTGCACATCTGGGATGAAGAAAGTTGTTTTTCTTCTTCTTCATGAAACTTCAAGCATCTGCCATATATAATGACATTCTTACATGGTTTAAGTCTTATCTCTGATAGTAGCTGGTTGATGTGGCTGGTTACTCATTCTACTACTGCTCTGGGAGTACCTATCTGTCCCCCTGATGTTCATTTTAGGGTCCTCTTTTATGTCTAATATATGTCAATTACATGTCTTCAACCCTAAGCAATAAGCTTTTATTATAATCATCACAGGCACGAGTATCAGACCTTGGAAGAAAAAATATGGCCAGATTGATAAAAAAACCTGTGTTCATCTTAAAAGTGTCAACAACCAAAATAAAATGTAAATAATGACCCCCTTTAAAAATATACTTCAAGTTGATAGTATATTTTTAAGGGGATCATTATTTACATTTTTTGTTTTGGTTTTTATAAACACAGTTTTTTTATCAAATCTGGTCATCGCTGGTCATATTTTTTCTTCCCAGGTCCGAAACTCGTGCCAGTGATTATATGCTGATGACTCAGGAATCCTTGTGTCTCAAAATATAAATCTGAAGAAATTCTTTCTTATAGCATAAGTCTTATAAGATTGCTTAATTGACTATAAATTGTCTTTGCATCTTGGCAAGACAGAGTCTATTCTTCTTTGGTTTAAGTTTCAACTTAAACTGGCCCTAGCCTCCAGGTCACATGTAATGGTACTGCTATAAAGTACACATCTTTTGTTAAGTATTTAGGTGCAAATCTGGATCAAATTCTTTTGGCGTCGCCCTTTGATGCTTTGCATCAATGATTTTCTTGTTTTACTTTAAAAGGTCTTTATTTTGGGTATGTGATAAATAGAATATTAAATTCGTGTAAGTTCATTACTGAATTTATTGCACTCGTTGAATAATATAATGTCAAGCTCGCCAGAGGCTCGCATAATATAATTTTATTCAACTCGTGCAATAAATTCAGTATTGAACTTACACTCATACAATATCCTCTATATATATTCCGAATTAGATTTCCTTAAAATGTACACGATTTCATATTTAGTTAATTCCCAAAGAAAAGTGACACGCATTTTCTTTGTATGACATTCAAATATAATTAATCTCTTTTTATACTGAAATATGAAAATACTTACCACTTTATTTCGAAATAAACCCAAAATTCTCAATACATAATTATAATTCAAAAATGATAAGCAAATAATTTAAGACACGAAAATTCAGTCCACATTTAGTTTTCTGAAGGAAGCCTCGGGAGGTTTCTCCGCGGATTTTCTTTTTTCAATGTCTACGAAATATTTACCACTAGACAGTTCCAACATGTATTTCCTGAACTCTTCCTTCTTGAATTCCTGAATATTTTGTTCTGTAAATGAAAAGCAATTATTTGAACTTTGTTTTCTTAGGCTGAAGAATACATTTTTGTTTTCAAGAGCTGTAAATGAGTGCACGTTAAATGTTTGGAATTTATTTTGAAATTGAAAGCATAGATATGATTGGAAGGATATCATTAGTATGAGGCTAATATACGTGTGTATTGTGGAGTACAATACTGATTTTTAACAATTACATAGCTACAAAACCTATATTAGGCGAGGCGCACAATATAGAAAATATGGGGTTTTTTGAACTCGGAAAATGAAAACAAGGCTTGATTGAGTACAATATGCATTTGAAAAGCATTTTCGGTAGGTGGAACTGAAAATCATGCTAAAATCCAAATATGATTCACATTGGAACATCATGTGGTGCAAATGCTTGATGTTTATTGGTTGTGAAACGCACTGTGATATCTAGATTCAAAATGATTGTTGTTATATTTTCCTCAAGCAGACGACTCCTTAAGTTCCTAAGAATAAACTGAATTTTCTTGCATGTCAGGCAGGATAATCTATTGTTAACACGGGTGCTAGAAAAACCTTTCTCGGCATAGCCTCGTTTCTACCGTTAACTGATACCCTCTGGCTAGATATTCCGGTCTGTACCCGCGCCGGTGTAAGATTCTTAATAGCATATACAATTTTATATGTTAGTATGAAAATATTGAGAAACATTTTACCAATGATTTCTTTGACAGTTCCGGCCGAAGGACCTTCATAATCGTCGGGTAAATATTCCGTCGGGAACACTTCCATACCAAGTTCCTCGTATATCTTTACCAAACTTTTACCTTGTGAGTGCATCTTGAACAGCAAAAATAAGTGATCTACGAGTATTTTAACACTTTTGTCTTTTTTTGAGGAAAAACATGAGTTCAATATAAGATGAAAAAATAACATATTTGAAGGATTTGACCCTGGCAAGTTATATTTATTCAATAAACGATATGAAATTCAAAGAAAGCAGGGAAATTGTTCACATAAAATTAAAACAGAAATCTTAAAAAACGCTTGACAACATATGATTGGTCCGGTTCAAGTGACGTACTAGTAAAATGCAACGCACAATCCCCCTGTTTGCTTCTTTCTTTTATTATAATTATCATTATTATTATAAATATTTTAACACCATCATAACACATATTTAGTAAAGATCTCGGCGGTTGCTCAACATAACCGACTTTCGTGGATAACTAACCAATAATTACCAATTTCTCTGCATAACCGGCTTTCGTGGATAACTAACTAGTAATTACCAATTTCTCTGCATAACCGGCTTTCGTGGATAGCTAACCAGTAATTTCCAATTTTTCTGCATAACCGGCTTTCGTAGATAACTAACCAGTAATTACCAATTTCTCTGCATAACCGGCTTTCGTGGATAACTAACCAGTAATTACCAATTTCTCTGCATAACCGGCTTTCGTGGATAACTAACCAGTAATTACCAATTTCTCTGCATAACCGGCTTTCGTGGATAACTAACCAGTAATAACCATTCTCTGCATAACCGGCTTTCGTGGATAACTAACCAGTAATTACCAATTTCTCTGCATAACCGCTTTCGTTGATAACTAACCAGTAATTTACCAATTTCTCTGCATAACCGGCTTTCGTAGATAACTAACCTGTTATTACCAATTTCTCTGCATAACCGGCTTTCGTGGATAACTAACCAGTAATTACCAATTTCTCTGCATAACCGGCTTCCGTTGATAACTAACCAATAATTACCAATTTCTCTGCATAACCAGCTTTCGTAGATAACTAACCAGTAATTACCAATTTCTCTGCATAACAGCCTTTCGTAGATAACTAACCTGTAATTACTATTCTCTGCATAACCGGCTTTTGTGGATAACTTACAAGTAATTACTAATTTCTCTGCATAACTGGCTTTCGTGAATAATTAACCAGTAGCTACCAATTTCTCTGCATAACCGGCTTTCGTGGATAACTAACAAGTAATTACTGATTTCTCCGCAAGTGACCAACTACTTATACCACATGATTTCTGAATAAGCGGTATGACATAAATGACAGTAGGACTCCGAGATCAACTATCACCAGAGATCGAACCAGAGAGCCCTTAAAAATCCGATGCTTTCCTATTGAGCTAAGCGGGACAATTAATTGAACCTTTTTTTTGGGTTAAATTTTTTAACAGAAATTTACTCTTCGCTTTCCCTGTCTTTAAATTTTGACTCATAAGGGTGTAATGAGGGTTTGCATCAAAGAGCCGCCTTGTAAGTAAAACCCCTTTAAACCGCGGAAAGACCTCTCAAAAAAAAAACAAAATAACCCCTCAGTTTTCATCTTGACACTGATTTAAAATTGAAAATTGTTGTTTTTTTTTTTTTTCTTTTACCCTTTTTTCCGTTTCGTTTTGGGGGGAAATTTCTAACCCGTTCCTGGGAGTTACACATACTAACCCCTCCCCCGCGCTAAACACCAAAGCATTCCGGGGATCGAACCACCCCGAGGGGAAACGGATTAGAAGTCATCGACTCAAACCCCCAATTAAAAAAATAAATTGAAAAAAGGGTTTAATGCAAAGTTTTTTAAAAAGATTTTTAAAAGTTTTATGTTATTAATTATTTTTTAAAAAATCAAAACCCTAGCAAAAACAGAAAATAAAATTTTTGTTGGGGGAACTTTTTATTCGTTTATTTACATTTTTAGTGTTAAAAAACGGTCTTGCAAAACCTTTTTTTTGGGGAATAAACCAAATAAAAAATGGAACCCAAATATAATTACTTTAAAAAAAATATATTAAAATTTTTTTAAAAATATAGTTTTATCCCCTTTAAGATAACATGGCCGTGTTGAAAAATATCTGCTTTAAAATCTTTTGAAATTAAATAAAAAAGGAAACCCCATTTTTTTTGAAGGCGTAGATTTTTGCGAAAGAGTTGAAAAACACTACTATTTAACATTTGACAATATACAATGACACTTGCAATGGCCGAATGACAAGTTTTCTAGCTGTTTATTGGTTAGTAATGGGACAAATTTATGCGGATTAGAATATGGGGATTTTATTCATGCGACAGAAGACTCTACCAAAAAAGGCAGTAGCCAAACCCTAAATGGAATCAACCTACATAGGGCAACCAGTGTGTTGACAGTCAAACATTTCTAAGCGATCAACAAAAGCTAAGGAAAACCAACATTTACCTGTAAATAAGCCAACAGTTTCTTTTCCAGCTCTGCATTCCAATACTTTATAAAATCCAGGGAGGCCCCGGTGTAGTCGGAGACGAACACTACCCCGTTAACTTGCGCCTTTTCGTCTAGTGTTAACCAATCACAGACTAGACAGAATGTTTTGTAGATCAAATCTTGACCTTCTTTCGATTTCATATAGGTCATATCAAAACCGTCTGGAATATAAACAAGTGATTGGTTAAGTAAATAAGTGAATGAATTTGAGTAAATGAGGCGGTTCGACATGAGAGGGGTTTCGACATAATGAGGTGGTTCGACGTAATAAGGTGGTTCGACATAATGAGGCGGTTCGGTATAACCAGGTGTACGACCCTATATAAAAGTAATTTTCAGTATACAGTCGCCACCAGCAGGCTACGGGTTAATCAACTTAAGATGCTTCAAAAACTGTTTCAAAATTAGAAAAAAACATATGCTTAAAGATGCTGCACTAAGGTTAGACAGCCTTAATATATACGATTTGAAATTCTTGCGTAGATCAAATGAAGCGCTTAAATCACTGGTATCCAAAGCGAACACACAATGTCATTTCTGCAATCAAAAAATGAATCAGATGATGAAAAAATATGCTCAAAATTAAATTAAAAATCGATTTTTGCACTATTTTAAGCCAAATTTGAGGAAAAAGCATTTCATGATCAGAGAGCGAGCATACTGGACCACCAGCCAGGAAGTTTAAGTATTTAGCTATTACATAGTAATGTAATGAAGATTCACACAAATTTACTTACCCATGCCTGAAAATATAACCTTACGTCCCTGTTTGTCGTAGCCCTTTGGAATGTACACCATCCTGCACGTGAAATAAACAACTGTCATGATTTCTTGTGTGTAGAATAGAGCAGAGCAGAACAGAATAGAAAAGAACCGAATAGATTAGAATGAAATAAAATAGAATATAATTTTTTTTTATTTCCGATCAAGGGTCATGTTAAATGACATACTAGTATATGCGTGTTAAATTAATAAGTTTCATTTCTAAAATCTAAATCGGTTCCATACACAATAAAGGGGTTTTGTTATTTCTAAAGTCGATACAGGTTGTTATTCAATACTAAAGTTCCAGTTAAAAGACCACCACCATAACAACAATAACAATAATAACAACAACAAAAACACAAAAGAAAAACAACAAACAAACAAAAAACAGTCATATACTTCTACATATACATGTAATAAAAAACAAATCTTGAAAGTATTTATGTGAAACTCATAACTCACTAAGAAACGAGTAAAATTTCAAAAAATTAAAGTTTACCCTAAACGCAAAATTTTGTGTATATTTTCGTCTGCTGGGTCGACATTTTTGAACCACTCGGGAACATTAGTCCTGTTCGTCCAGAAGTTTTCCAGAGTTTCTCTGGCCCCAAGTTGACTGTACTTTCTTACCCGAATAAATCGTAAAAGGAATTCGAAGTCTGTAAAAGATTGCGCTGTCTTATTTTTGATTTTTGATATTCTTGTAACATTATTAGGTTTATATACATGTACAAATGATAATGCTCTTTTATCATATATGCATGTCACTCTTACAATCTGACTAAAGTTCAGATGTTGTATTTAACCTAAAGTGAAGCGTAATTTACGGGGTTGCACTGTAAGCATAGAGCTAATTTCTTTTTTAAAACTTTGCTTTTAATCGGTGGTTTTTTTAGAAAATTATCAAAAAGTGATTATAAAAGGGAAATTTACTTTTAAAACATGAAAAACCCCTTGGGAAATTAATTTCCACTTTTTGATTTAAAAGACCCTTCCGGTTTTAAAATTAAATAGCTTCGGGAGGCTGTTTAAGAAGACTTAATAGTGATTTAATGCATTTCTCCATGGTGAAATTATTGAAATAGTTAGTTAAAAACAACATTGAACTGTTTTCCCAAATAAAAATAAAAGCTGAAGGTCGCTTTAAAATCAAATATAATCTCGCGAAATCTAGAACTTTTCCATGCTTGCTCTTATTTTGTAAGAACACACCAGTGACAGTGTGTCAAAATATCATGTAATAAATACCGCTACAAAGTCGTTGAAACATGTCATAAATCTTAATAAAGGGGAAAATAAAACATTCAAGAGTTTAGACTGTCGCATTTGAAAACGTATGAATAAATTTTGACTCTCATTACCTGTCTTAGTTTTCAGCCAATCTTGTTCCAGTGCCCACTTTCTTAACGCCTGTACAGCGCCCTCTCTGTCTTTGTCATTCAGTTCATGAAGCTCTTCTTTTGCTTTCTTCTTTTCTTCCTCGTTAAGTTTACTGACAAAATCAGCATCTCCTAGAAACACATTGAAATATATAAATTTCATTTGAGTAATAATCTAATCCTGTAAACGAGGAATTTCATTCGTTTTTATGTCCTTTTTACCCTTTAATTTGATTGGCTGGTTTAACAAAGCCTAACAGCAGTTTAAATTGTATTACATGTTACAGCATATCCGTATTTCTACCAGCAGTATAGCATTATTCAAGCTTTACAACCCGTAGTTGTCCAGCAATATTACCAGATGTATACCAGTATAACAACCAGCAGTATATTGCATACCAGTATCATAACCAGCAGTATATAAGTATTACAAACAGCAGTACATCAGTACTAATCCCAGCATATCTTATAACTATAAGCAGTTCACAAGTTATAAACAGTACTACAATATTACCAATTGTATAACAATATTATTACAAGTGATATAACTATGTAATTAAAAGTGGTACAACTTTATTATTGCAAGCGGTATATCTTTTTTATTGCAATAGGTATAACTATATTATTACAAGTGGTATAACTGTGTTATTAGCAAGTGATATAACAGTATAATTACAAGTGGTATAGATAAAGTATGAATAAATGAATGCAAGTGATATTACAGTGTTATTACAAGTGGTATAACAATGTTAATACAAGTGGTATAACAATGTTAATACAAGTGGTATAATAATGTTATTACAAGTGGTATAACAATGTTATTACAAGTTGTATAACAGTGTTATTACAAGTGGTATAACAATGTTAATACAAGTGGTATAACAATGTTATTACAGGTGGTATAACAATGTTATTACAAGTGGTATAACAATGTTATTACAAGTGGTATAACAATGTTATTACAAGTGGTATCACTATATTATTACAAATGGTATCACTATATTATTACAAGTGGTATCACTATATTATTACAAGTGGTATAAATAGATGAATACAAGTGATATAACAGTGTTATTGAAAGTCGTATAACAGTGTCATAACTGTATTAATATTACAAGTAGTATAACTGTATCATTACATGTGATATAACAGTGTAAAATTTTTGCAAGTGGTATAACTGTATTATTACAAATGATTTAACTACATTATTGCATATGTTACTATAATTAGTAATAAAAATTCGTTTCTTTTTTCTGAATATGACATGCGAAAATCCCGTATTTGAGCAAGTGTGCCATCTATTGGCGCACTTGCCAAGTGTGCCAAAATCCCATATTGAGGCTATTTCCGGTTATTGGCGTCCGCGCTGAAGCGCGGCGCCTTTTATGTAATGAAATCAGATTTTGTGAAAGGGCGACAGCAACTTCTCGAGCCTTTTATAGTTGTTCATAATAAAAGCCGATCATTCCGATCGGTATGAGGGTGCTTGATTATTAACTAGTCGCGATATGTACAATTAATAGCGAACTGGAGAATTTCGCAATGCAAACATTTTCAAATTAAATAACCTTTTCCGTCAATAAATCGCGCTTTTCGGGATATTTTTATTTATCATTTTGTAGTACACAGTGGGTTATTATGGTATTTTATTCCGAAAGCTGTAAATAGAATGATGAGTTGATGACCTAAATATTCCGAAAATCTATTTATAGAGGGATGTACTCCTGTAGGTAATTCCCGGTCTCTCCTGGTCTATTTTGACGACCGGCGAATAGTACCACACGTTTATTGTCCGGTATCTCCCGGTTGTGGAGTAGATGTTTGATATCGTTACAGAACAGAAAAATGTACATTTTTATGGCATTAATATGACACTATCAACTTTGAAACATTTTATTTAATTTGTTATTCGTGTTTAGTAAAGATGCCGAGGAATTATTCAAAGCTACAAATCAGATTTTATGAATTATTCAATTGATTGATAATTTAAAATATGATAAAGAAAAATACAAATGTGCATGTATATGGTTTAAGAATAAACAATATTATATATTGAAAGATTAACAATATTTTACTGACTTTTTCCAGTTAAGTTTTGACCTATAATCGTCGGTCATTATGACAATTGAATTCTTAAGATTTATTTTACAATTTTAATAAAAAAGAGTAGTAAACGTAAAAACTCAGTATTAAAATAGTGCATCAAACACTAAAAAGAAAAGAAAACAATATTCATAAAATCTGTATTTTTTATTAAAAAAAGATACATGTATTACAATTAGTGTATAATAAACATTTATGCTCAACATGATCAACATGGTAATATAACAAGTGTCATATTGTTACTAAGTGTGAACAGATACCTTAAGAGGGGGTCTTCGCTAATAGCGATAACATAATAAGGGACAATTACACAAGTGTGGTGTTGATCATGCGTTACTCATATGGATTATAAGTGATTGTATACATGTATATCCGTTGCTATTAATAACCACGATCATAAAGAAATAACAAGTAATACTTTAATTTCTAGCATGCCAATCAAAGTTATAGATAATGAACAATGTCTTTCGTTCTTTCATTCAAAAGTGATATACCAATGAACCATTGAACAGTTTAACTGTTTTAAGAATATCTTGTCATCATATATCTACTAGTTCATCTACACCTGCTGCATTTCTTGCTTGGACGCCCTTTGATGCTTTGCATCAATGCTTTTCTTGTCACCACCTGTTATAGAGTAACGGCAGAACGTCCGCGCGTTATACACGTTACGTAATTGACAACCGCATCGCAAAAAATGGCCGTCGAAAGGACGTTGAAATCGTTAGCGAATCGCTTGATGGATTTAGATAATATAATCGGACAACACGGACATCCAATTAATAAATATATTAGAACAATTACGTTATTATTTGAATTTATTCCAGTCTGAAAAATTGCTGCGAAACATGCATTAAACAGGTCATTACATGGGGGAAGTGTGCCATTAGTCCATATTGGCACACTTGGTTCAAATTTGCCCTCGGGCAAATAAATCACTAAGTGTGCCAATATGGACTAAAGGCACACTTGCCTCTACTTATTGCAAGTGGTATAACAGTATTATTACAATGGGTATAACTGTATTATTGCAATTCATATTTAACAGTGTTATTACAAGTGGTATAACAGTGTTATTACAAGTGGTATAACAGTGTTATTACAAGTGGTATAACTGTATTATTGCTATATTTCTGTTATTGTTTAAGTATTAGAACAAAAAATGAAAAATATTAAGCTATTCTTTTTAAACATTTTTAATAAAACACCTCAATATATCCCGTAGATGTATCTTACCGTTTGTCCCACTTTCTTATCCAATCAAATGCTCAAATTTATTTGAAATATATTGCATACACTATACCGGGACTGGTGTATGTGAAAAATAAGTAGACATATTTTAATGGGTATTGACGTGGTATCTGGCAAATATGACGTTATGGATATGGGCGGAGTTTAAAATTAGACAATATATGTGGCATGCGAATAAAGTAAACAAATAAGAAAGCGATTTCATACGGTTATTTATAAATCCAAGCTTTTACATGTATAAAAATTATTGAAACAGTACATTCCCTATACCGTCATGGTTATAATTCAAACATTAGAAAACAGTATAATAGACATGGAGTGAGAGAAATCTCAAAGTTCGAAACTAACACATAATTATCTTAAAATAATCATACAGAATATCCATGTTTCATAATTCCATGACAAACTTTTTTCCACATTTTGTTAAAAAAAACTCCACTTTTTTAACAGTTGACTTCGACCCCTATACCCTCGTATAGTCATCTCGCGCATGCGTCGATCCATTATTCTGCAAAGTTCAGAAAAAAGGATCTTCAGTTTTAACAAAGTTCACGTGCATGGATTTTTCATTTCGAAGATACCGTTGTAGCATTGCAGCAATGTTTAGTAAAGTTGTTGGAGGATAGAATTCTCCATTTTTCCTTTCAATTTCACAGATGAATTGTTGCGACCAAAAAATCCATTGCTGCACATGCACATGAACGGAACTGCTCTATTTGAACGGGAATAGGATAACCAGGCTCTTGCTGAGTCTCCGGTTGTAGGTTGCGGTTTTCCAGACGTGCACTGCCCAGTTGTTGTTTTTCGTTGTATTATAGGGCACTGTATTTCTGTTTCTTCTTAATGTCATCAGAATGATGACAAAAGCTTTTCAAATCGGCCTGCAAAATGCAAATATCAAAGAAATCACTGAAATTTGATTTTCAAAGTTTTTTTTAATAATTGCAACAGCATTTAAGGCAGATTAACCATGTTATGTTTGAATAATTTACCGTCATCTATTTTGAGATTCGGTACTGGTTGGGCGTACAAAAGCTGCGCGCCTAGTCATGTTACAATTTGTATTTTCATTCAGATAACGATGAAGTTAGATATTGCGAGAATTCGAGAATATTTTTTTATAAAATATTTACCTGAGCTTTTGCCTCTTGTTGCTTGTGTCTGCATATAAAACCTGCGTAGCAATATCAAGCACCGTGACCACATGAAATGGTTCAAAAATATGATTCTTGCTATATATATTATGTCAAACACAACCTGATCGCAGAATTGTTACATGATGAAAATACATAAAAAAACCCAAAGCTTTGATTGACAGGTCAAAACACTCAGACCATGTGTTGGCCTGTCAATCTATAGGGCGGGACTCGTATTACATTACAGCTGTACCGACACTTCGTACCTGACTTATTCCACGAAAGTGGGTCAAACGGTAAGCCAGTTATAGTTCATATTTTAAAAAATATAGAACTTATTGCTGCGCTCCGCTACGCTACGCTTGCAATAAATTCCATATTTTTTTAAAATCTGAACTATAACTATTACATAATTTTACATGTTACACGAAACAGGTAAAATTGTGAAGTTTTTTTTTCTTCCTGTATTTACCACTGAATGTTAAGGTCAACTTGTAGCTCACGGCTTTTAATGTACATGCAGATCATACGCAGTCGCCAGAAAGAACTTTTAAGGATTATTATTTTTATACGAATGTTTCTAAATGTTGTATGTGCATTAGCAAGCATTTTTGGTGATACAGTGTTATAACCATTTTATTACGTTTCAACAATATTCCTACAAGTCTTATAGTCGTATTTCACCTGTGTACAACATATATTTATTAATCAATATCTATAAATAAACTCACCTTTCTCAACGGCCATTTTGCACGCTTATAAATATCTCTAAATCCAATATTTTACACGTTGTATGGTCAAAAAGTAGTAAAATGGCTCCCAGATTTCAGTTTTATATTAATCTGAATTATATAGCTGACGCAAACTATGACAATATGTTCAGTCACATGTTAATAAAGAAAATGTAGACTACAAAAAACCTATAGTTTCCGACTGTTCTGCCGGGTATATTTTACTACTTTATTTGAAATGCTTGGATGCGGACAAATAATGATTTCATCTAGTCGATTTTTCGTGCGGTTATAAAATGGCACACACTGTCGCTCAATATTATAGGAACATTTCAGTGACCTTAAAGCTTATCAGTTTTGAACATGTATAATATTGATAAAGCTATAATTTAAACCAAACAAACAAAATGTATTTCAAGTGCTACTTCCCGTTTTGTTGTTGTTGTTGTTGTTTTTAAGTATAACCCATTATCGCTCAAGGCCAAAAACGTTAAACATTATATTATAGCTTTTATATTGCATTGAACAAAGAAACGACGCAAAATAAATAATTTAAAGATATACTATGCTCAAATTTCATATCAGGAAATATTGGTGATTGCTACACAGTCTCTTTGTAAATATAAAATATAAAGATGTTCTGACTTCACAGAAAGTAGATGTGTTATATTTAAAACTCTACACACAATATAAATATATAGTGTCGTTAAAAAACTGGCAGTTTTTTTAAGAAAAAAAAACAACTTTACTTGCCTTATAATAGGGAACGTGGCTTCCAATACATAGTAAATTCATCTGTTTATTCAAATTAGACATATTCAGTAAGGATTTCATAGGTTTTAGCAAATTTCTTTGTTTAAAGTACATTACTCAAATATGAGCATAGTATATCTTTAAATATTATAGTCTGTACTTAATATCAGTAACGTATACATGTATATTATAACACATTCCCTGTCAATATTTATAATTTCACAAGATTTAAAGACCCATTATGCTCTTTTCTAAACAAGTTTTTTTCTTTATCAGCATCAGATAACGAAAGATTATTTTTGCTCAACATGATTAGAACCGTGTAATTTACAACTAGCAGTATTTCAGAAGTTTTTTTTCCCATCTGTTTATATTTAATTTAAGAGATTATGTAAATATAAAAAGGGTCAATCGCTTCTTTTTGGTCATTTCCGTCAAACTCTGGATAAGAATAATAGCCGGATGTTCCAATTGGTGTGGTTTTTGTTCGGGATGTCGGCAGTAAAGCCATAAAGAGAGTACAGTTCAGCCGCCCGGCAACTTATATACTTGTGGCAATGCCATAATAAATATATAATTCGCCGTCGGGGCATGAAATCTTACAGGGGCAAAAAATCTCATCAGTGGGGCTAAAAAAGGGGAAAAATACTAAACAGCGTCACTTACAACTATTTTATTTTACATGAGGTAGAAAAATAAAATAATAAGTATTAAAGTAATGAAACATAATACAGTTACATGTATATTGCATAGTAAATAATATCAGATAAAATGATATATGAAAACATATTTTAAACCATTAAGAATATTTTTAAACAGAATTTGGCAAAGTAAATATGATAGTAAAAAGGCATAGAAAATTTGGTAGTAAAAAGCTTTAGTTGAACCTTATCTTTCACCTGAGATTGTTTCCTACATTTGAAACCTCTTGGTCCAGATTTTTGTATTCTTCAGCCAACAAACTACATGTAGCTTACAAGCTCTGATCTTTATCATAGAAACACATTTACGAAAAAGTAACAAGATAAGCTAACTGAGATAAGCATGCGGACATGCACCTAAAAATAGAGGTGGGAAATAGAAACTTTTATCGAGGATTCGTTGAGCAACAATTGAAATTAAAATATATGGAAACATTTGCTAAATCCTCAATACACATATATATTGTGTTTGTATTTCTAGGAACACTTCATGGTGCATTAATACCAAACTATTCTACACAATTCTAATAATAATATCAAACTTGTATATATGTTTTTATCATGCAACTGCTATGGTAACTGCCTGATAACACTTGCCTGATAATTATTTTTGATATCAGGTCAGTAACCTGATATCAAAACTAAGCCCCGCCCATTTTCACGGACTTTTTTCAATTGCTTATATTCTCATATTACCAGCATGTGAATTCTACAATGTATTCTAATACCCTTACAAGTCTTGAATCAAGATGCGATATCTATTTATTTATTATTTCGATTTCAATTACGAATAAATTAGATAGCGCATCAACTAGATGAAGTGACGTCATAGTTTATATTGCAAATGACATCATAGATGTTCACGTCATACTATACATGTAATCATAACAAACAGGCTGACGATTTTCTTTGAGAACTTGTAAAAGTTTACTTTATTTCGCCGGATTATTATTTAACAAGTGAACAAATTGTTTCTTTTAAAAAATAAGACGCATGTTTGTGTAGCTTGTGTTTGATTGCCGTTTGACTTTTGTTTGATTGAAATTATTGTGAACTTTTGAAATTGACAATTCAAGACAAACCTGCAGTAAAAAAGTCTATGTGATTCTTAGGGATTTTTTTCGATCGATGTTTAAAGGTAAGACTTTTATCGTGTTTCATTCTGTTGTATCTTTTATCACAGGAAATAATCTCGAGTCGAAAGAAAGTATGGCCGCCATTTACAAATTTAAAGTTTGAGGGGCGGAGGAATTTGTTTTCAAGAATTATTTCTTTGAACAGAAATGCCCATTTCTACGAAATTCGCTTTTTAAAAGTAGATTATTTTGTAGTTATGACAGTTTTATGTGTTACATGATAAATAGAAAAACATGCTACTGTCTTTTGATATCAATTTTATCAGGCTCGGCTGATATGGGCAGAAAGGGCTCGGCAAGCCTCGCCCTTTCTAGCCCATATCAGCCTCGCCTGATAAAATTGATATCAAAAGACAGTAGCATGTTATTCTCTATAAAGCAGCATGCCTCCAGATTCCTGTTAGTTTTCGTGAAAATTTTGAAAATGTATAAAAAAGAAAAATAATGTGAAGTGAACAAAAAATGATTTAACGGTACATATTGCAAACAGCGTTTACAATATGCCTACATGTATTTTGCCAAAGTATACAAAAAAGCCCTTACTGCGTTATTAACCCAGGCGAAATATGGTGAAAAATACTGCAAATTCGATCATAAATGGCACATTAATTAGAATTATTACTTTTATCTTGAATCTTTTTACATTTCTTTAAACCTCACTACATTTTTATTAAGTTTGATTTTCTTGAATTATTTTATCTCACCCGGAGGCATGCAGCTTTAACTGTTAGGAATAATTTCATACTTGAAGTAAAAACAGTGCTAATATTAAAGCCATGCGCCTCTAGATTAGAATATAATTAATGCCTTGAAGAAAAAAATATTTAATTCATCCAAACATGTTGTCAAGTGTACAATAATATGGTTTAAGTTAAAGTAACGCACTTACTTTTCACAGAAATCAACTTTTAAATGTTTATATATGTAGAATTGGCCATTACTCCGTAGAAACATGGTAAAAAAGTTAGTTATTTCTAAAATGCAATCGTATAACTCCGTATAACTCCTTACATTGAGAAATATGTAATATTATCATATACGAAAATTACTTCGGCTTTCTCCGCTTGTCACCGATGAATCAACTAATCTCTATTTGTATTTTGTTATAGAACCGACTGATTGAACTTTTCAAGTAACATATAAGTGCAAATGTACTTAATTATGCATTTTCTCCCATAGAAATTGCTAGGATATTACTAGCGAAGGCATTCACCTGTTTCAAATTAAGATTTTATTCATTTGCACTTGACTGAAAATTTCATGTTGGAAACACTCCAATCTGTTGCTTGCCAAAAATAGTGATGAGTAATATATTGTTATATTAAAATTATAGCACGTAAATATCTATTGCTTTTAAAAAAATAATTAAGTATTGCATATTTGAGATACATTGTATATTGACTCCGAATTAGTCGACTAGCGATGAATCAGAAACACTTGGAATGCACAATTCCAGGGCCGTTTTCTTCATATTCCTTTTTCGACACAGCTTTGGTCCCGAAATATGAGAGAGCGGCTAGGATTGAGCCTCCGATCCAAACACTGAACGTCCTTTCGGGAGGGGCAATAACTCTTACTCTTTTATCTTTTGAAATCAGGTCGACCATTTCCTTCTGCATTCTTTCTTTCACACCTGGAAACATCGTGCATCCACCGCATAAGATCATGTTACACATTAAATCTGGTCTTGCATCCACATCACACTTCATTAGGCTTGAATGAAAAAACTTATGAAGTCCAGGAAAATCTTTTTTAAATAAGTGCGGTTGAAAAAGAGCCTCTGGACAATGGAATCTTTCGCTTCCAACTGTTATCTTACTTCCATCTGGCAGTTTATATGTTCGTTCAATGGCGTCGGACTCGGAATTAGAACGCTCCATCTCTTTTTCAAAGTCTATTGCCGTGTAGCATAACTTTTCTTTAATCTCGCGAACTGTCTCTTTTTCAGAATTCGACGTAAAACTGGTACCACTTTTAGAATTCAACATCTCCAGCATATAGTCTGTCAAATCTTTCCCGCCGAAATTTAACTTATCGATTGCGTTTTTAAATGTATAACTCTCATAAATTGCGAGAACATGCGAGACTTCGTGGCCCACATCGAGTATTATAGAAGACACACGCCCTAAAGCGTAAATGCCAAGAACTCCCCCTAAAGAAACAGAAAACATTGGCGTTTTGAAAGTTTCAAACATAACTTCGCACATCTTCTCGCGATGGGTTTTTGGGTTTAAAGGAACGTCAGACAGTAACACGGGATGGTTTTCTGATTCAACATGTAGTTCTTCTTGAAAAACGTGCTGCCAGATTTTCTCCATATCATCCCAGTTGGTAATAATGCCTCTCTCGATGGGACAAGTTATTGACAGAACATCTCTTTTCTTTTGTATTTGTTCTCCAACAAATGTATCCCTTACATCAACTGCTGCTATTGAGTCACTCTCCGTGTCGTTTGGTCTGCCAATCTGAGATGGAAATATGTACTTTGGATAATCATCTCCCGCAAAGCCTGCCTTGCAGCGAAACGAACCATTGTCAATGACAACAGGTGGCGTCCCTTCATCTACGTGGTGGTCGGCACTCATTACACTACAATATTAAAACAAACATGTAAATTCACCATAGAAATATACATCTAACACGTGCAAACGAAACAAATATTAAAAGCACGAGCTCTCGGGTAGAAAAACGCACTTGCAAATGCATAGAATGTATAATGTTCGCAAATGGGAATAATTCAGTGAAAATCCCTGTTCGAGTTATGGGTTTTGGTCAGTAACCTATACACTTGTTCACAATCCATGCTTGAGTTGAAGGTTCCATGATGACCGCCAAATGAATACATCTGCGGATGTTTCAAAATTCAAAATTGTACCAGTTTATAGTAAATGTTGAATTCTGCTTAAGCCGGTGCTAGGGGGCGTGGGCGGTAGTTTGCACTTAACAGTACCGTCCATGAACAGGCTGAATCAAACCGAGCCTGCAACATTTTCAGTTATGCCGTGTTGGGCTTTCTTTTTCTCTATTTTACCGATCCCAAATAGATATGTAAATATTCTGGAATGTGCGATAAGAAATTACACACAAAACATATACGAAGTGCTCTCGCGAACGCCATTTCCGACACGACGGTAGGCTATTATACAAGTATATGATAAAATAACAACACTTGAATAGCCCAGATCATGTGTTAAGTTATTTAATTAGTTATATTTATTATCTGAATGTAACTTTCCGGTCAAGTTCCGTACGTTAGACTTTGGTACAGTATTAGTATAGTATTACAGCGAGACACGCCAATGGTTAACATAATAACTAATAATTCAGATATAAATAATACATAATATAATATTTAACGTTCATCCAAAACACACATCTTAATTCATTCTTCATAAAAGATAAATAAATAAAAATATCGTTTTAAACAAATTTAAAGCGTTACAGTTAGAAATTCTGCTACACTGCCATTAAAAAAAGAAAGCATTAATTAATTAGGTAATCACTAATCAAATCAATCTCATTTATAAATTCGACTCTATGTATATAATCTTTTTGTTTATAACATTATAAAAATCCAAACAACCTTTCATGGTTAAGCCTTAATTACCAGCGTGTCAATAATTAACTCCTGTTTATATAAATAGCATTAATTAAATTATCACCTAATTATCAGTTAACACGAAACAGAATCATAGAATGCATGTAGATACTTACAGATTATCCTCTACTTTATCACTGCGTGTATCCGATGTTTGCGTTTAAAACATTCTCCGCATATACTTAAAACCAAGCACATTTTTTTACAAGTTATGTATAATTATATGTACTTTATAAGTAAACTCTACTTTACACACTAGATCTACATGTCAGATATTTATACGCTGTAAAGATGAATTAGATATATATAGAGTAACCAACAGTATATGTACACCACTGGTTCCCGATTTCGAGCACTCAGCTTTAGAGCATGCAGCTTAATCGACAAAGGCAGTCACGTGACCCATTCAAGGTAACCACTGCCCAGCGTGTTTGTTTCATTTACGCCTTTTCAGTCATATAGGCGGGTAGTTTCCTAACCATCGTTCCTGGAGAGTTACACCAGTACTCGACTACATTCCTCCGCGCTAAACTACCAAAGCATCTCCCGGGGATCGAACCCACGCCAGAGATGTGTCATCGACCCCTCGACCACGGAGGCGGTTTATGTCACTACAAATACCAAAATAATTAGCAAAAATATTGTGTGGTATTGTTGCGTGCCTGGATGTAAATCATCAGGATACACAGAAAATGTTTCCATGCATGGATTCCCTACAGAACAAAAAAAAATGTTAGTTTATGTTGTATTTATCCTTAAAATGTAACCTTACAATGTTTAGTCTCATAAGTCTGATTTTATTGACCTGTCATGAATACAGTATTACAGTCATTTAAATACTCCCACTCCAGAAGAACTATATATAACTAAGGTTTTCGAAAGGTCACACCATCCACAATAGCAGCCGGTTGATTACGTGATAACCAAATAGATATACAAGAGCTATTGTTACTCTTTCTTTGTATCATAGTTTGGAGACCTTTCTGTTGAAAATGTGTCAGGGTTAAATCGTATACATATACATGCACAGTGCGTTAACTGGAATGCGGGTATTAGTTACCCGCACTCCAGAGCATGCCCATTGATTGGCTCATTTTTGCTGGGGTTTACATATTGTGACGGCAGAGAAAGGGAAAGCGACCGAACTGTCATATTCAGATGTTCGTTCATTGGTTCATTTTTGCCGGGGTTTCATATTGTGACAACAGGGAACGTGCTTTTATGTTTGACTATGATACAAAAGAGAAAGAACACCAAAACACTCGGCAATCTGATTTATACTCGGGGGCTACGCCCCCTCGTACAAATCAGATAGCCTCGTGTTTCGGTGCTCTTTCTATTACTTATTGTTGCTTTGTATTTAAATGAAATGACCGGGTGCTTGCAAAATGTCTACACGGATACCACGATTGAGAAACAACAATGACTAAAACACGATACTGTACTACGATGGTGAAAACGAGATGGATACTACAATTATATAAGTAATAGAAAGAGCATCGAAACACGAGGCTATCTGATTTGTACGAGGGGCGAGTGTTTTGATGTTCTTTCTCTTTTGTATCATAGTCAAACATAAAAAAACACGCTCCCTACCGATGAACGAACATCTGAATATGATATTTCTGTCTCTTTCCCTTCCTCTGCCGTCACAATATGTTAACCCCAGCAAAAAATGAGCTAATCAATGGGCATGCTCTGGAATGCGGGTAACTGATTCCTGCACTCCAGTAAACGCACTGTGCATGAATATGTATACAATTTAACCCTGACACATTTTCAACAGAAAGATACAATTTTATCGTTAAAATGCGTCGATCGCCTTAACGGGACCACAGGGACCCAGCACAGTTTTGGGATAGTGTAAAAAATGTAATTCTAGAAAAAAATATACATGTACAATGTATACTGCATATATTATATACAGTACATATTTTTTTCTAGAATTACTTTTTTACACTATCACAACACTGTGCTGGGTCCCTGTGAACGGGACACTGTAATTGTGTGCAATGTTAATATAATGAGTATGCAGTTGACAGGTAAATAAAATCCAACCATAGTACATTTTTGAACAGGGATAACACCTTTGATCTGATATTATCCCCCACCGCTACCCCATCCTTCCCTTCAGTCCCAGTTACAACCCGAAAAATATTATTTAAAGTCAATTTCCACATTAATAAACAATAATATGACACTATTACAAATGTTCATTATACTTCTATAGTATTAGTTATACTAATAATATAAAGGTATTATAAAAATTGTGTAATTTGTACTAATACTGTAGGGGAACATGAAAATCGTGTAATAGTGTCATATTTTTGTAGTTATGAATAGTAAATGAGAAAATTGACTTGAAATGATATTTTTGGGGTTGTAACTGGGACTGGGGGAGGGGGTTAGCGATAGGGGATGGTATCAGATCAAAGCGTCTTATCCCTGTGCATTTTTGTATGAAAGAATAATTTCTTGGAGGTAAAACAATTTCTTCTGCTGGAAATATAATACACAAAATGATATTTCATTTCTCAAATCTCAATAAAAGAGATTTAAAAGTACATGTAGTGTATTTTATATATTAATAAATATTTGTTTGACTCAAAATTATTTTTTATGCAAGAAGAAAATGTGAAAACTAAATACATGTAACAACAATTTAATATGATTCAACTAGCATAATTATTTAGCATATCACTGTATCTCATTTTAGATTTGGAAGGAAAGAATCAGCCGATCCATATCATTACTTACAAATAAAGACATTGTTGTCACAAGCAGTAGTAAAATTTGTTCAGTGCACTTCTTAGAAACAGATTTTACCGACTACAGTCAGAAAGGAGGAGACTAACAACATCCGCAATACCATCAATTTTTACCTGGAAATCACTGTCAATGCGGGAAATACCTGACAAGATATATGATGAAGATAGTGACGGTGATAGCGAGACTGACACGGCATCAGAGGGAGAATATAGGGTACATGCAGAGGCTCAGGTTGATTTTAACAGGGTACATGCAGAGATTCAAGTTGATATGAACAAGGTAAATGCAGAGACTCAAATTGATATCAACAGTTGCAGTCATTCAATAGTTACTATTCTTAATTCCAACCCAAGTCTTAATTTGATAAACTTTTATACTGTGTTTTCTAATTATACATTTTTTCATCGGTTCTGGAATTTATTGTATCTGATAAGGATAGAAAAAACATAGTATATTGGGACAAGCGCAGAACAGCATCTTACACTTGTGTTGCTGAATATGTTGCCTCTAATGAGGGCAGTAACAGCGAGGACACAGATGATGAAAATTCAAAGCCAATCAGAACACATAGAAGATGAATTTTTAATGTTAATGAAATTAAAACTTGGATTATTCAACAAAGATTTGGCATTCAGATTTACCATCTCGCTTTCAACTGTGAGCAAAATTTTCAGAACTTGGATCAATTTGATTTTCCTTATACTTGGTTCTATGAAAATATTTCCACATAGGGACATAATTTTGAAAAATATGACAAACGAATTCAAAAAGCAATATCCGCAAGTTATGTTGATAATCGACTGTACAGAACTTAAGATAGAAATGCCATCTTCCCTACACAAAGTCCCAAACTTACTTTGATTATAAGTCTGCCAATGCATTCAAAGGTCTACTAGGTGTTGATTGCCGTGGAAGAATAATGTTTGTGTCACACTTGTACACTGGCAGTATTTCTGACAAAGAAATATGTCAACGCAGTGGACTGTTTGACCTCTTGAAAACGAAGAAAGAAAATGGAGAGTTAGTTGAAGGTGATGCAATAATGGCTGATAAAGGTTTTACTGTAGCACATGAACTTCAAGAACTGGGCTTAAACCTGAAAAGCCCACCAATTCTAGGGAAACGAAAGAGATTACAGACAGCAGAAGTGCAGGATACACAAGTAATTGCTCACCATCGTGGTCATGTAGAGCGAGCTATTAGTAAAGTACGAAATTTTCACATATTTGACAGAAAATCGAGTATTAAATCTGCAGGACTCATCATCCAAATATGGACTGACTGTTGCCTTTTGTCAAATTTTCAAGATTCGATCATTTTAACTGAATCGATTATTTGATGCTGTTGCCGAATGATATAAATATATACTACTTTGTCTCAATCCTTTCAAAATAGCACTGCTGAATTTTGAGTCTTTGACATATATGTAAACCAGGCAATTTTGTCAAAATAAATTCTCAACAAATTAAGATTCCTTTATTTGTAAAGACAACACAGTCACTACAGTTTAAACCAGATATTACCATCTGACCAGTTAAAGCACTGCAGTGTGTTCTTTTCAGATAAAGTTGGTCGCCGATAAAGTTGGTCGTTTCTATTTTCCAAAAAGAAATCATTATTTTCTGAAGCATCACCTACAGTGAAATATGAAAAAAAAGTTAACAAGGAAGAGCGGCATTCAATGGACGCATGTTTCAACACAGGACCACTGGCAAGGATCCCAGCAGGACACGAAACAGGACACTGAATGCCGAACAATCCCTTGAAAGTGAAAATATAACAACAAGCCATTTTAAGGTCGCCACACGCCACAAACATGGTTGTGAGCATAAAATATGAAAAACAAGTTTCTGTTCTTCTTTGGACATAAACTAATTCTGATAGACTTTAGTGGTCATAAGTGTCACTAACATTTCCATCAGTGGATGCCCCTAAATAAGCACTAACAGGATTTGTTTTGTACATTGTTATTCTATGTTTTGCATATTCTGTAATCTTTTTCTGTACGAAATCTGCTGTGGTCATAGTATTATTTTTACAATAGCTTTAGCTCTTAGATTTGGTTCGCGATTGCTGATCATGGTCATGCAACTACATAGTTACGTAAAGAAGCAGACGCTTGTTTTGGTTGAGTCTATTATGTTTTGTTAAGGGGGTGAGTTGTCATACACAAATTTACAATTTATATGCATTTATTTTTTTCCAATGATTGTTATTATCTTAAATGCTTCTGGGATTTTTGTTTTATCAATGCATTTGTAAATAAGATCGTTATATGTCTATTAACGGATTAATTTTAATGAACACGAAATTAGTGCACACCTTTATGTGTATTGATAACGTGATGGTTTAAGCCAATGAAAACACATCAATTTTATTACAATCAGGCAAAGAGTAAATGTAAAAAAAAAAAAAAAAAAAAAAAAAAAAAAAGATAAGTTTTATTTCAAGTCGGCAAGTTTTCAACATTACAACATAAGCTCTAGGAGCTTTTATAACCGACTGATGTAGCAAACAAACTTTGAATTGCAAGTATTTGTTCATATCTTTTCGGCAGGATAAATTGTCCGAGGAGGGCCATGCATTTTCGTATGATGCAGCCGTAATATGGCATCAAGTGATTATCCCCAAGCACCACCGCGACTTAGCGCGGGAATTATAAATATAGCTAACCTCGGCGCGTCGCATAGGATGGAAAATACCTTTCTCATTTTATTGTAATAATTATTTACAAACTGTGTCTTTCGGAGGTTTTTTTATCAATATATAACCAATAATGATGTTAATATGAATAAATAATCATATCTCAAACCTGTGACTATGACTTACAATGAAATTCTACCTTAAGTGTATTAAAAAGGTTTTCAATTTCCTGTAATTTTATTCTGTGATTATGCTTCAAAGCAGTCATTTGACCGTGAATTTTCTTTTCATATTTTGATTTCCTTGAAATCATTTTTCTCATCTGAAGGCATGCAACTTTAATATGATGATACATTAATTACATTCCATGAAAATGTTTAAAGATAATTATAAAATATCTCATGACATGTTTGTTCATTTTACATTACACCTTTAATGCAGCAAACATAAAAAGTCTTCACAAAAAGTAGTATGCAATCGTACCTATATTACATACGAATGTATGCAATATTTTTCTTGTTATATATGCTTTTCTGGTAATATCTTCCTTAACCCGTTCATGTGATATAGCAGTGGTTGTTGACCGATCTTTATTACATTTATTTTCTAAATGTATGACTTAATTGGTGGACTTTTGTATTCATTATATCACAAAATTAAGCGGCAGACACTTACTTTACTATTTTCTTTGATCTTCAGCAGCGGAAGGTGCTTACTTAACATTTTTCTCTGCTCTTCAGCGGCGGAAAGTCTTACTGTACTAATTTCTCTGTTTTTCAGCGGAGGAAAGCTCTTGCTTTACACATTTTTTCCGCTCTTCAGTGGTGGATTAACCTTAAACTTTACTATTTTATTCCTGCTCTTCAGCGGCGGAAAGTCCATACTCTCTGCTTTTCAGTGGCTGCTTTTCAGTGGCGGAAAAACCTTCTTTCATAAATTTATGGTCATGACACAAGAATGATTTCGGAATATAATTATTTCATACTTTTATTTAATTAACTATTTATTAATTAATAAATTATATGTACAAATTATATTGAATACATGTATACTGGTCGATGTACATTTTAGTGCAAGCAGGCACAAACCCCGTTTGTCTTAGCTCAGACAGTATATAGGGTTAATTAAGTATATATGAACCTCGGACCCCTTGAAACACTAAGAGCCGTCCGAACACAACATGAACACAAAGCATCCTCGGAAACTCGTGATTGTGTTAAAGTTACATTATCTTATATACGTATTGTCAAGTTGAGTAAAATTCAAATTTTATTTCAAAATATTGACTTATAATGATGATTGGCCGGCAGTTGGTAGAGAAAAAAACAGATATATATAAATAGACTGCCCGGCTCTTGTTATAAATTAAACGAAATTATGTTAATTAAATTTCAACCTGTTGAGAATGAAAATTCTCTAGAAGGTGAATGGCAAAATAATTAAACAATGTCATATTGCAAATCACCGTATATATACGGCCCAATATTAAAACAGCATTTTAATTGTGACAGGAAGAAGTATGATTTGGTGGAAACCGTAAAATATGTGCGCTGATGCAGTGTTGTCGATCGTCTATTTGAACAAAAAAAATGGTTAAAATGAGCATAACTAAAAAATAAAGCTTTCCGAATTAAGCCACTTGTCTAACCAATATAAGCAATTTTAGTATTCTAAGTTTCATGTTGATAACTTAAAAAATGTTGGAATAATGGGATACAATAAAGTTTTTGCCCGACGACGACGCAGTGATCATAAAAGCTCGACGTTTTGTTTAACATGGACAGGCTTAAAAAGACCAGATTAAAATAGTTGGAAAACATAGTCTACAAAGTGTATAGAACACATTCAATATAACTTAAGTTTACAAACAAGTTAAGTGAATAAGGAACAGCTAATAGACATTTACAATAAACAACAAGCTATTTATATATACTCATACACATTTTAAATGTACAACTCCGGGGCCATTTTCCTCATAATCCATTTTTGAAATGGCGAGATTTTGGAACGTAGATAAAGAAGCTAGAATTGAGCCTCCAATCCAGACACTTAGCTTTCTTTCAGGCGGTGCTATAACCTGCACCCTCATCGTTTTTGGAATCAAATGCGTCAATTCCTTTAACATTCTTTCCCTCAGCCCCGTGAACATCGTACATCCGCCTGTTAATATCACGTTGCACATTAAATCCGCCCTGGTGTCAATATCACATTTCATAAGGCTAGAATATAAGAACTGATGTAATCCTGGGAAATCTTTGCCGAGTAAATGTGGTTGAAAAAGAGGCTCTGTACACCGGAACCTTTCGTTCCCAACTGTAATCCTACGCCCATCAGGTAGTTCATATATTTTCTCGACACTAGAAGAGTAGTTGTACTCAGTGCAATTATTTTTCTCCTCAAAATCTAGTTCTGTGTAGCCTATTGATTCCTTTATCTTACGAACTATTTCTTTGTCGCTTTTGCAGGTGAAAGTATGACCTCGTTCGCCATTTAACATTTGTAAAAAGTAGTCCGTCAAATCATTACCACCGAAATTCATGCGATCAATCGCGTGTTCAAATTTATATCCTTCATATATTGCAAGCACGTGGGAGACCTCGTGACCCACATCAAGTAATATAGCCGAACCACGCCCTGAGGCGTACACCCCGAGAATACCCGCTAACGAAACAGAAAATAGTGGCGTGTTGAACGTTTCAAACATTATTTCGCACATTTTTTCTCTGTTGATTTTAGGATTTAACGGGACATCTGTAAGTAACACAGGATGGTGCTCAGGTGACACGCGCAGTTCTTTATCAAATATATATTGCCATATTTTCTCCATGTCATCCCAGTCGGTTATGATACCCTTTTTGATTGGTTGATTAATTGCAAGCACATCTCTTTTATTTTGTATTTCGTCTCCAATGAACGCGTCTTTTCCATCCATGCCTACCATCCAGTTTTCGTACATGTACCGCGGTCTGCCAATAAGAGGCGGAATTATGGATCTTGGAGCATCGTCTCCTGCAAACCCCGCTTTACAGAGGTGTGAACCGTTGTCAATGACGACCGCGGGAATGTCATCATCTTGCGAGTAATTGAAACTCATGGCACTGCAAAGATAATATAATGGAACTTAAATACACATTGCTTTTAGCACAGGCGTTCGGCACATTTGTCTTGCCAATAATTGTCACATTTTTATAAAATAATCACCCCTTGATGATGATCATCCAGAACAAAATTACTATCCAAAACTACTGTACATAAAGTAAACGGGTGCTGGATAGTAATTTTGTTTTTGATGATAAAGGGGAAATTATTTTACGATAACTTGACCAATATATAATTGCAAGACAAATTTGCCGAAAGCCTGTGTCGAAAGGTATTGAATCTACCACTTGATATTTTCTTTAATAACATTATTTATACAAAAATAAACGCACCTAAACTACGGTATGCGAACAAAATTGTCAACTTAAATTGATGTCCCGTTCGTGATCAGTGATGTAGGTCTTTATATAAACTAATGAACTACTATAGTACGTAGTTCACAGAGGGGACATTGATGTTCATAAATAGTTTTGATGCATTGTTGATTATAGATTTGTTGAATAATAATAATAGTTTACCTTAAATGGTCATCCTCTAAGTATCAAGAAAATAAATAACTATGACATGTTTACGACTTATTTTGAACTCATGTTTAATATTCATCATTGTGACATATATATTATCAATGTGTTTTTCAAAAAAATGGAAATGAACAAAATGTAAAATATCAGAATAATGAAGGATAAACGTGAAATAGGTTACGTATACATGTTTATCACACACCCGTGCAGCTTTTACGACTCCGTAAAAATGGTATTGCACGGCCGTGCATATATTATGACGTGACGATATTTTCGTTATAATTTATAATCATAGCGTTAAGACGCGTTACATGTTAGCGTTATACTATAGGCGCGTCAGAGGCTCGCATAATATAGACTCTAATTTTATTCAACTCGTTCAATAAATTTAGTATCAAACTTAATTACGAGGCTCGCATAAACTCGTTCAATAAATTTAGTCATTTAATATCCTCTAGGTATACCTGGGTCAGAGGTTATAGAAAAATTCTCATAGCTCAAACTCATATCTCAGGCATTTGATTGGTCAGAAATTTCCAAAAAATGTAAACTGACTAATGAATATCATGAGATTTGAGACATAACTCAGAAAAATGTTTTATAACCCTGAGGCCAGTATACAGTACAATGTATATACCAATCTCCTACGTACAGGTTACTGGACGTAGCGTAACCGGTGCGCGGAGTTTGTGTATATACATGCATAAGATTATAATTATATAATAAGGACTGGTCGAAATCGTCTCAATCAGAAAAAAGCATATATTATCTATCATTTATAATCTAATTAATAAATTGTTCCAATATTAAGAAAAAATATTTTACCTTTGTCAATTTGAAATCATTTTTTGCATTCCAAAACATCGAATCATACTGACAATACTCGTAATATAAACATCTAAAAATAGACAAACATAAACAGCACTGGTTCCCGGATTCGTGTACCGTACCGTACCGTATGCAAACATTAAAGGTCTCAACCCGGTACGGAATTAGACCGAACCCATTGTAGTCTAGAAAGTAGTTCTTTAAAATTTTGAAATGGCCCAGTTTAAGTCATCTCTAGTTAGATTGGTCATAATTAAAGTGTATTTATTGCATGTGTGTAGTTTTTGTGTGTTATATTATGACTTTAAAAGTTATAGTGTATTCTCCAGGAACTCATTTGTTGGTGGAAGGATTAAAGATGTACTACGTACCAACCAGCTGTCAGGAGTTTTTAAAGAGGTGAATTTAAACAGTGTTACAACAGAATGAAGATTTCTGAAAAAAGTAGATGGCTAACCTATTATATTTTGGGCCTCATTGGACTTAGATAGTGTTAATGTTTAAAGTTGAAGACAGTATATAATTCATCAAGAACAGTGGAATCCAGAATTAAGCCTCACATTTGACTGATTTACTATAGAACAAATAGTACGAAAATTCACCGGTCCGAGTCCTAAAAAAAATCTGTTGGTGTCAACCCAGTGAATTTTCGTATTCTTTGTTCTATAGTAAATCAGTCACATTTGAGGCTTAATTCTGGATTCCACTGTTCTTGATGAATTATATACTGTCTTCAACTATGGACGCATGTTGCAACACAGAACCACTGGCAAGAAGACCAGCATGACACCAAACAGGACACTTAATGCCGAACAATCCCTTGAGAACAGCATTGATTTAGTACGGGGAGCCATTTTACGGCCGCCACATGGAACAAACAACACGGTTGTGAGCATAAAAAATGAAAAACCAGTTTCTGTTTTTATGGACGAAAGACCTTAGTGGTCATTAATGTCACTAACATTTCCATCAGGGGATGTTCCTAAATAAGCACAGACAGGATTTGTTTTGTACACTGTTATTTCATGTTTTGCATATTTTGTAATCTTTTTTGTATACATGTATATGCTTTTCTGGCAAGATCTTCTTTAACCCGTTCATGTGATAAAGCAGTGGCTGTTGACAGATCTTTTGTTGAAAATATATTTTTTTTTAAATGTATGACTTAATTGGTGGACTTTTTTGTATTCATTATATCACCAAATTAAGCGGCAGACACTTACTTAACAATTTTCTCTGCTCTTCAGTGGCGGGAAGTCTTTACTGTACTATTTTTCTCTGTTTTTCAGCGGAGGAAAGCTCTTGCTTTACACATTTTTTCCGCTCTTCAGTGGTGGATTAATCTTACTGTACTATTTTTTTTCCTGCTCTTCAGCGGCGGAAAGTCCATACTCTCTGCTTTTCAGTGGCGGAAAACCTTCTTTCATAAATTTATGGTCATGACACAAGAATGATTTTGGAAGATATTTCATACTTTTATTTAATTAATTATTAATTTATTATATATGTACAAATTATATAGAATACATGTATACTGGTCGATGTACATTTACTGCTATCCGGCACAAACCCCGTTTGTCTTAGCTCAGACAGTATATAGGGTTAATTAAGTATATGAACCTCGGACCTCTTTAGACACTAAGAGCCATCCGAACACAACATGAACACAAAGCATCCTCGGAAACTCGTGATTGTCCGCTGATATATAACTGTTAAGACATTATGCTTATACACGTATTGTCAAGTTCAGTTGAATTCAAATTTAATTTTAATCATTTATTTATAATGATGATTGGCCAGCATTTGGTAGTGAAAATGTTTAGGAAAAAATACAAATCTGTTTAAAATATAAAAAAGACTGCCAGGCTCTTGTAATAAATTTAACGAAATTATGTTAAATTTCAACCTGTTGAGAATGAAAATTCTCTAGAAGGTGAATGGCAAAATAATTAAACAATGTAATATTGCAAATCACCATATATATATACGGCCCAATATTAAAACAGCATTTTTATTTGTGACAGAAAGAAGAATGATTTGGTGGACACCGTAAAATATGAGCACCGCGTGCAGCGTTCACGATCGTCTATTTGAATAATTACTTTTGACAAAAAAATGGTTAAAATGAGCATAACTAAAAAATAAAGCTTTCAGAATAAAGGCACTTGTCTAACCAAGAAACGCAATTTTAGTATTCTAAGTTTCATGTTGAAACTAAAAAAATGTTTGAATAATAGGATACAATAAAGTTTTTGCACGACGACGACGACGCAGTGATCATAAAAGCTCGACATTTTGTTTAATAGACAGGCTCAAAAAGACCAGATTAAAATAGTTGGATAACATGGTCTACAAAGTATATAGAACACATTCAATAACTTAAATTTACAAACAAGTAAAGTGAATAAGGAACAGGTAATAGACAATTACAATTAACAACAAGCTTCTTATACTCATACACATTTTAAATGCACAACTCCGGGGCCATTTTCCTCATAATCCATTTTTGAAATGGCGAGATTTTGGAACCTAGATAAAGAAGCTAGAATTGAACCTCCAATCCAGACACTAAACTTTCTTTCTGGCGGTGCTATAACCTTCACCCTCATCGTTTTTGGAATCAAATGCGTCAATTCCTTCAACATTCTTTCCCTCAGCCCCGTGAACATCGTACATCCGCCTGTTAATATCACGTTACACATTAAATCCCTCCTGGTGTCAATATCACATTTCATAACGCTAGAATATAAAAACTGATGTAATCCTGGGAAATCTTTGCCGAGTAAATGTGGTTGAAAAAGAGGCTCTGCACACCTGAACCTTTCGTTCCCGACTGTAATCCTACGCCCATCGGGTAGCTCATATAATTTCTCCACACTAGAAGAGTAGTTATACTCAGTACTATTATTTTTTTCCTCAAAATCTAGTTCTGTGTAGCCCATTGATTCTTTTATCTTACGAACTATCTCTTTGTCGCTATTGTAGGTGAAAGAATGACCTCGTTCGCCATTTAGCATTTGTAAAAAGTAGTCCGTCAAATCATTACCACCGAAATTTATGCGATCAATCGCATGTTCAAATGTATATCCTTCATATATTGCAAGCACGTGGGAGACCTCGTGACCTACATCAAGCGTGATAGCCGAACCTCGCCCTGAGGCGTACACCCCGAGAATACCCGCTAATGAAACAGAAAATAGTGGCGTGTTAAACGTTTCAAACATTATTTCGCACATTTTTTTCTCTGTTGATTTTAGGATTTAATGGGACATCTGTAAGTAACACAGGATGGTGCTCAGGTGACACGTGCAGTTCTTTATCAAATATATATTGCCATATTTTCTCCATGTCATCCCAGTCGGTTATGATACCCTTTTTGATTGGTTGATTAATTGCAAGCACATCTCTTTTATTTTGTATTTCGTCTCCAATGAACGCGTCTTTTCCATCCATGCCTACCATCCAGTTTTCGTACATGTACCGCGGTCTGCCAATAAGAGGCGGAATTATGGATCTTGGAGCATCGTCTCCAGCAAACCCCGCTTTACAGAGGTGTGAACCGTTGTCAATGACAACCGCGGGAATGTCATCATCTTGCGAGTAATTGAAACTCATGACACTGCAAAGATAATACAATTAAATTTAAATCACAATAACTTTGTAAATTGCTTTTAGCATAGGCTTCGGCACATTTGTCTTGCCAATAATTGTCACATTTTCATAAAAAACTCCCCTTGATAATTATCATCCAGAACAAAATTACTATCCAAAACTACTGTACATAAAGTAAACGGGTGCTGGATAGTAATTTTGTTTTTGATGATAAAGGGGAAATTATTTTACGATAACTTGACCAATATATAATTGCAAGACAAATTTGCCGAAAACCTGTGTCGAAAGGTATTGAATCTACCGCTTGATATTTTCTTTAATAACATTATTTATACAAAAATAAACGCACCTAAACTACGGCCCAGCAAACACCCGACGTTGACACAACGTTGGATCAACGTTGAATTTTGGTCGCGACGTCGGTGACCTTCATACAACGTTAAACCGACGTTGAATCTCCGACGTCTAACAGACGTTTCATTTTGACGTCGACTCGACGTCGGGTTTTGGTCGGTAATCTGACAATAGGTGAATTTAATTTATGAAACCAATATATATATAAATGAAAGCATAAACAGCTAGAATTTTAAATTTAAGTTTAGAAAGGGAAAATTATATATTTATTTATCCATCAAAACAATAACAGTATCACGTGGGTGGCTACGTACGATATTTGATAGGTAAAGGGATAGTCGCAGATCAGTATGAAATATATTTGCTCTATTTTCGTTTAAACAATATCTTATCTCCTCGAATTAGTCTAAGAAGTGTTTATATCATTTACAATGAAATTGTTATCATTTTTGAGGGCTTTATTTTATAGTGGTAAATAATTTAGTAAATTCGAATTGGCGACATAGGCCTATATCGGATTTGAAATTCAGTTGTATTGGCGGACAAAAAAACAACGAGCTGACAGACAAAGTTGAATATTCCAAACAAAATGAAAAGGTAGGCAAACATTATATATTGTTTTTCAATGCTTATTTACCGCATGTTTGCATGGATTCGATGGCTATTTGATCATTGTAATGTTTGACTGGTAAAACCTAATGTCACGTGATTTCACGAGATAAAAATTTTTGTTTCCTCGTAAGAGCACTATATTATTTACTATAGAACAGTCTGTATCATCGGATCATTTTCCCCGCACTATATCGCCAAGCCAAATAAATGCACAAACAATGGTAGGAAATATCCTAGCAATTGAAATCAATAAAAAGTTAAATGCAGTACGTTAGACTCTTATAATTTATTCAAATGCTGGTAAATAAAATTCCCTCTTATTTCTTATCAACATGAATTTCCCTTACATAAGGGGCCAGTCATTTACACATGTATCAGCTGCACAGTTTGATTTTGATATCTGTGTAGTTGTTAAACTACTCGTTGTTAATTGAAGTACTTTACCAATACTGTAAGCATACCATGTGTTTCTTATATAATGATAATGATTCATGGCATTTGATACATGTAAATGATACGACTTTGGTAAGATATATCTGAAAGCACATTGTTTCTGACTAGCTCTCTTTTTATTAATGTAATCAAACAACATATTATAAATCAGAAAACACATTATCATAGTTATAAATCAATAAAAGTAATAGTTTGTTAATTAGCCTGCTTATCAACAAGTTATATGTTCGTATCATAAAACGTTTGTACACTAAGCCAGTCTGTCCTATATACACCTAGCAGATCGGATCATGCTGGGCAGAGATGATATCTATAAAAATGACAGTAACATGTGAATTTCTTTGATGTTGTTTGAAAATTTGTATAAATTACATTGAATATAAAAAATAACAATATCAATTTTTTGCGGGAGTAGAATTAATTTGGTATTTGTTATGTAAGTTTTTCATGCCCTTATGAGTTAACTAAGATTAATAGTATTTGGATTTTGCCTATTGTATTAGACAAACATCCTTCCACCACATGGTTAAATTCTAAAATGATTATATTTCGTCTTTCAGATTGTGGAAATTATGATAATTCAACATCTGGCAAAAGTTCAGGAGGAAGATGAAAGTATTAAGAGGAAAAGAAAAACGAAAACTTACCAAGATTTTGTGACAGGTATATTTCAAAATATTATAGAAAATACAGTGATCTTATTACCCTTGATTTTATATAATGAAATTCACGAAGCCATATTTTTATCAAAATCAATAGATATATAGGTACACTTAACTACATATGGTTTGAACTAGATAGAAAATAATAAATATCTTTTTTAAGTAGTTGGAGAGTTTATCAGAATTTCGTTTAATTATAATATGTAAAAGTGATTTATTTCTTGCACTTGTAATTGATTATTTTATTTTTTTTATTTTCAGAAAGTGTGATGAGATTTAGGTTGGAGACGGTAATGATACGCTTACAGTATGCCCCAGATCGACACAGTGGAGGAGGACGAAAGAAGATACATAAACATTGCTATTTATAATAATAACAAAATATTCAGAATATTGTTCCATTTAACATTCAGATCTAGATTCAGTTATAAAATACAAAGACAAATATACAATCAGTGAACTGGATAGATGATTGGAAAATCCCAAAATCAGGGTGATCAGTTCATGATCAGTGGTGAAATAAAAAAAAAACACATGCATGGATGTTTACTATACAAAATGTCAGTGGTAATATTCAAGAAGGATTTTGTGTATCTAATTTCTAAAACATGCTTATTTAATACATAAAGCGTTATTAAAGTACTTACTTTCAAGTTTAATAGTTTCAAAAAATATTATGTAAATCTTGCATTTGTTATCGTACCACATTTCTTGTTTGGAACTTGTGATTCCGAGTATGCAAATAAATTGCTAAAATTATAAGAATGCTTATTTGTTTACCCTATTATTAAAAAAATCGTATTCCAAAAGTTTTGAATGAGGTTAAAGTCTAAATCATGGTCAGAAAATTTGGTCAGATAAGGTTGGATTATGGTCAGATAATGGTCAGAAAAGGTTGGATTATGGTCAGAAAAGGTCGGATTATGTCCAAATAATGGTCAGGAAAGGTTGGATTATGGTCAGATAATGGTCAGAAAAAGTTGGATTATGGTCAGAAAAGGTTGGATAAAGGTCATTATATGACGTTGTATAGACGTCGGTTTTCTGACGTCTAAAAAACTTTCAAATCCAACCTTCTGCCAACGTTTACCCAACGTCAGGGTCTAACGTCAGTTACAACGTTGGTAAACGTCTTTTGTTTGCTGGGGGTATGCGAACAAAATTGTCACCCTATCGTGATCAGTGATGTAGGGTTTTATATAAACTAATGAACTACTATAGTACGTAGTTCACAGATTTTTTTCAACTCGTTCAATAAATTTTTAGTATCAAACTTAATTACGAGGCTCGCATAAACTCGTTCAATAAATTTAGTCATTTAATATCCTCTAGGTATACCTGGGTCAGAGATTATAGAAAATATTCTCATAGCTCAAAACTCATATCTCAGGCATTTGATTGGTCAGAAATTTCCAAAAAAATGTAAACTGACTAATGAATATCATGAGATTTTGAAGACATAACTCAGAAAAATGTTTAATAACCCTGAGGCCAGTATACAGTACAATATATATACCAATCTCCTACGTACAGGTTACTGGACGTAGCGTAACCGGTGCGCGGAGTTTGTGTATATTACATGCATAAGATTATAATTATAATAATTATATAATAAGGACTGGTCGAAATCGTCTCAATCAGAAAAAAAGCATATATTATCTATCATTTATAATCTAATTAATAAATTGTTCCAATATTAAGAAAAAATATTTTACCTTTGTCACTTTGAAATCATTTTTTGCATTCCAAAACATCGAATCATACTGACGATACTCGTAATATAAACATCTAAAAATAGACAAACATAAACAGCACTGGTTCCCGGATTCTTTCTACATTACCTGTGTACCGTACCGTACCGTATGCAAACATTAAAGGTCTCAACCATTGTGTACACCGGTCTTACTGACGATATTTGAGACCGGTGCGTATAAAATGGGTCTCAACCCGGTACGGAATTAGACCGAACCCATTGTAGTCTAGAAAGTAGTTCTTTAAAATTTTGAAATGGCCCAGTTTAAGTCATCTCTAGTTAGATTGGTCATAATTAAAGTGTATTTATTGCATGTGAGTAGTTTTTGTGTGTTATATGATGACTTTAAAAGTTATTGTTTGTGTATTCTCCAGGAACTCATTTGTTGGTGGAAGGATTAAAGATGTACTACCCACCAGCTGTCAGGAGTTTTTAAAGAGGTGAATTTAAACAGTGTTACAACAGAATGAAGATTTCTGAAAAAAGTAGATGGCTAACCTATTATATTTTGGGCCTCATTGGACTTAGATAGTGTTAATGTTTAAAGTTGAAGACAGTATATAATTCATCAAGAACAGTGGAATCCAGAATTAAGCCTCAAATTTGACTGATTTACTATAGAACAAATAGTACGAAAATTCACCGGTCCGAGTCCTAAAAAAAATCTGTTGGTGTCGGCCCAGTGAATTTTCGTATTCTTTGTTCTATAGTAAATCAGTTACATTTGAGGCTTAATTCTGGATTCCACTATTCTTGATGAATTATATACTGTCTTCAACTATGGACGCATGTTGCAACACAGAACCACTGGCAAGAAGACCAGCATGACACCAAACAGGACACTTAATGCCGAACAATCCCTTGAGAACAGCATTGATTTAATACGGGGAGCCATTTTACGGCCGCCACATGGAACAAACAACACGGTTGTGAGCATAAAAAATGAAAAACCAGTTTCTGTTTTTATGGACGAAAGACCTTAGTGGTCATTAATGTCACTAACATTTCCATCAGGGGATGTTCCTAAATAAGCACAGACAGGATTTGTTTTGTACACTGTTATTTCATGTTTTGCATATTTTGTAATCTTTTTTTGTATACATGTATATGCTTTTCTGGCAAGATCTTCTTTAACCCGTTCATGTGATAAAGCAGTGGCTGTTGACAGATCTTTTGTTGAAAATATATTTTTTTTTAAATGTATGACTTAATTGGTGGACTTTTTTGTATTCATTACATGTATATCACCAAATTAAGCGGCAGACACTTACTTTACTATTTTCTCTGATCTTCAGCGGCGGAAGGTCCTTACTTAACAATTTTCTCTGCTCTTCAGTGGCGGGAAGTCTTTACTGTACTATTTTCTCTGTTTTTCAGCGGAGGAAAGCTCTTGCTTTACACATTTTTTCCGCTCTTCAGTGGTGGATTAATCTTACTGTACTATTTTTTTCCTGCTCTTCAGCGGCGGAAAGTCCATACTCTCTGCTTTTCAGTGGCGGAAAACCTTCTTTCATAAATTTATGGTCATGACACAAGAATGATTTTGGAAGATATTTCATACTTTTATTTAATTAATTATTAATTTATTATATGTACAAATTATATAGAATACATGTATACTGGTCGATGTACATTTACTGCTATCCGGCACAAACCCCGTTTGTCTTAGCTCAGACAGTATATAGGGTTAATTAAGTATATGAACCTCGGACCTCTTTAGACACTAAGAGCCATCCAAACACAACATGAACACAAAGCATCCTCGGAAACTCGTGATTGTCCGCTGATATATAACTGTTAAGACATTATGCTTATACACGTATTGTCAAGTTCAGTTGAATTCAAATTTAATTTTAATCATTTATTTATAATGATGATTTGCCAGCATTTGGTAGTGAAAATGTTTAGGAAAAAATACAAATCTGTTTAAAATATAAAAAAGACTGCCAGGCTCTAGTTATAAATTAAACGAAATTATACATGTATTAAATTTCAACCTGTTGAGATTGAAAATTCTCTAGAAGGTGAATGGCAAAATAAATAAAAAAAACAATGTAATATTGCAAATCACCGTATATTAACGGCCCAATATTAAAACTGCATTTTTAATTGTGACAGAAAGAAGAATGATTTGGTGGAAACCGTAAAATATGAGCACCGCGTGCGGTGTTTACGATCGTCTATTTGAATAATTACTTTTGACCAAGAAAGAAATGGTTAAAATGAGCATAACTAAAAAATAAAGCTTTCAGAATTAAGGCACTTGTCTAACCAAGAAACGCAATTTTAGTATTCTAAGTTTCATGTTGATGTTTGAATAATGGGATACAATAATTTTTTTTTTTGCACGACGACGATGACGCAGTGATCATAAAAGCTCGACGTTTTGTTTAATACAGACAGGCTTAAAAAGACCAGATAACATGGTGAACATGGTAAATGAGGAACAGCTAACATACTTGAACTAATAGACATGTACAATTATTAACAACAAGCTATTTATATATACTCATACACATTTTAAATGTACAACTCCGGGGCCATTTTCCTCATAATCCATTTTTGAAATTGCGAGATTTTGGAACATAGATAAAGAAGCTAGAACTGAACCTCCAATCCAAACACTACACTTTCTTTCTGGCGGTGCTATAACCTTCACCCTCGTCGTTTTTGGAATCAAATTCGTCAATTCCTTTTCCATTCTTTCCCTCAGCCCTGTGAACATCGTACATCCGCCTGTTAATATCACGTTACACATTAAGTCCCTCCTGGTGTCAATATCACATTTCATAAGGCTAGAATATAAGAACTGATGTAATCCTGGGAAATCTTTGCCGAGTAAATGTGGTTGAAAAAGAGGCTCTGTACACCGGAACCTTTCGTTCCCAACTGTAATCCTACGCCCATCAGGAAGCTCATATAATTTCTCCACACTAGAAGAGTAGTTATACTCAGTACAATTATTTTTTTCCTCAAAATCTAGTTCTGTGTAGCCCATTGATTCTTTTATCTTACGAACTATCTCTTTGTCGCTATTGCAGGTGAAAGAATGACCTCGTTCGCCATTTAACATTTGTAAAAAGTAGTCCGTCAAATCATTACCACCGAAATTCATGCGATCAATCGCGTGTTCAAATGTATATCCTTCATATATTGCAAGCACGTGGGAGACCTCGTGACCTACATCAAGTGTGATAGCCGAACCACGCCCTGAGGCGTACACCCCGAGAATACCCGCTAATGAAACAGAAAATAGTGGCGTGTTGAACGTTTCAAACATTATTTCGCACATTTTTTCTCTGTTGATTTTAGGATTTAATGGGACATCTGTAAGCAACACAGGATGGTGCTCAGGTGACACGTGTAGTTCTTTATCAAATATATATTGCCATATTTTTCCATGTCATCCCAGTCGGTTATGATACCCTTTTTGATTGGTTGATTAATTGCAAGCACATCTCTTTTATTTTGTATTTCGTCTCCAATGAACGCGTCTTTTTCATCCATGCCTACCATCCAGTTTTCGTACATGTACCGCGGTCTGCCAATAAGAGGCGGAATTATGGATCTTGGAGCATCGTCTCCTGCAAACCCCGCCTTACAGAGGTGTGAACCGTTGTCAATGACAACCGCGGGAATGTCATCATCTTGCGAGTAATTGAAACTCATGACACTGCAAAGATAATATAATGGAACTATAAGTGACAGTAACTTTGTAAATTGCTTTTAGCACAGGCGTTTTGGCACATTGTCTTGCCAATAATTGTCACATTTTCATAAAATAATTGATGATGATCGATCATCCAGAACAAATTACTATCCAGTAACCGTTTACAGTAACAGTACATACAGTAAACGGTTACTGGATAGTAATTTTGTTTTAATAGCTTGACCAATATATGATGGCAAGACAAATTTCACGAAAGCCTGTGTAGATAGGTATCGAATATTTTCTTTAATAACATTATTTATACAAAAATAAACGCACCTAATTTACGGTATGCGAACAAAA